TTAACAGAATTGGGCTATTAAATTTTGCAGCATCCACCATACTCATCTGACCTTTCACCAACGGATTATCTACCTTTTCCGTCACTTGGAGCTGTTTCTCCGAAATAAAACATTCCGGGACCGAGAGGCTGTAATTGGAGCATTTGAGGAGTTTGTTAATTAAAAAAATGTAGAATTTTATAGAAATTGAATATTTTCCTTAGTATCCCGTTGGGAGAAGGCAATTCAAGCTAATGGAGCATATTTTGATTAAATGAAATTTTATTTGTTAAAAATATAGCCTTTAAAATCTCATCTTCAAAATCGGACATTTCATGTGAAACAACCTAATATATACACAGGGTGATTCATAATGGCATGTCCCCCTGTCACAGTCCAAACTAATTTTTAAAAAAAACAATAATACCACATGAAAGTCCATTCAATTCTGCAGTTGCATGTCTTTTCATGTTTGAGAATTTCAATGATGATGCAATCTGACAATATTATCATGGACTGCATCATGGCCTTAAAAATTCCATAAAGCAAGAGGTGCCAGAGTGTTTCATGTTCATTGATAGCACACAAGCTCAAGAGAAATTAAATTCTTCCCTGAGATAGCTCCAAATTCAAGCTGTATTTCCAGGAAAGTTTCACTTCTCTTGTTCTTGTTCACAATCCATGCAAAAGAAATAAATGCCACTTCAGCATCCTTCTGCTTCATAGAATGTAACCACTTTGATGGAGTCCACAACCACCCCACTGTATTATTATAGAATCTTGTGATTTTAACTGTCAAATCTAAAAAAGATGCACCAGAATGCAATTTGAATGGACTTTCAAGCAGCATAATCAGTTTTCCAATAGGACTAGAGTTTTGGCTGTGGAGAGGAGGAGTACATTATGATGGATCACCGAAAAAACATGATTATTTCTAACATGAAAATCCAGTCCTGTGATTATCTTACATTTAAACTCTAATATTAGGGGTACCAGAAAGTAATGTCGTTTTTTTGTATACCAAATGTAAACTTTATTTATTATGTATTTTTTTTTGTTTTGAAATGAATTTCATTCATTAATCTAAAGAACTGTTATTTGTCATACTTTTTCAATAACAAAAATTTTTCATCTTCAGAAAAAATGCCTGACCACATTCCTGATCTGTTGAAGGAGTTCTTGAACATTAGACCATGAAGAATTAAGTTTTCTGCTGATTGTTGGATGGTTTGACCAGGGTCTGACTCAACCTCTGACCTCAGGAGATTGTTCTTCAGCTCAACTGGTCTTCTCAAATGATGGCCATCTGAGAGGTCAACATCACCTGACTGGAATTTATTGAACCAACCCTTGGATTTGCAGACATCCAATACATCTCTATAAACACCAAAAATATTTTTGTTGGCCTCTGTTGCCTTACTTCCCTTATGAAACTCAGAGCAGTAAATGTCGTATTAGGATCTCTTTGGGAATGTGGTCAGACATTTTTGCTGAAGATGAGAAAATTTTTAGCAAAAAATGTATGACAAATAATGATTCTTTAGATTAATGAATGAAATTCATTTCAAAACAAATGAAAACACATAATAAGAAACGTTTACATTTGGTATACAAAAAAGCGACATTACTTTCTGGTACCCGATACAACTGGGTACCGAAACCTGCTGTACCTCACCTGCTTCTGTTGTAAATGTTGAATTTTCGCTTCAGCATACTTTATTTCCAAATTATGGCAATGGAGTTCATCGTCAGAGGACAAGGGAAATATTTTCAGGATGAGAACATGCCTCTCTCCACCCTGACTTCGAAGCTGACCAACTATTCGGACATGTTTGCCTTGGTACTTCTGCTCCGGTCTCTCACTCTGGTCCTGTTTGTGTCCCAGCAGTTACTCTCAAAGGTTGTCACCAAAAGTGAAGGAAAATAGAGCAACTCACAGGGTCATCATGGTCCAGCTCTTTATCCTGTTCTTGATCCTTCCACAGGGTGCATTTAATTGTTCCTGTGTCATCATCAACATAATAATCAACCCTAGTAGGATGGGCCTCTGCTCTCTTCACTTTTCCCATAAGTACAAGCTATAATGAAAGCCAATGAAACTTATATGAAGAAGTATACTGTATGTTAGTTTAAAGATGTTATTTACTACCCACCCAATACCACATAGGTTAGGATAGGATGCCACTAACAACCCATGTGAAAATTTCATATAAGACCATATAAGAAATGGCCATATATTAAACCAGTCCAACATACTGTATATGGGGCATATATGACCATATAGTACAATTCATATATGAACATATATGAAACATGTATGGGGTTTGACACAAGTCACATAAAATCATATAAGAAGGAAAATATGTGACCCCATACATTTTCATATATTGGCTCATACAAATGCACCATATACTGTCCATATATGCCATGGCATATCTATGTATGGTGAGATTACCTGAAACATGTCTGTATTCAAAAAGGGTCTATAATCCATCAGATACTGTATGATCATATGCAAGTCACCATACCTTACTTGCAATCAATTCACTTTTAATTGTTCATAGACCACAGTCAATTACTCCAAGAACTCGTGTTTCATAGTTTTCAACATATGAACCCTTGTTAATGAAGGTGAAAGTTTCAATATTATAGACTTTAATTTCATGACAAAACTTGGCTTATTCATGTAGAAGTGTCTTCTTCATCTTTACTGACAACTCACAAGAAAGATGAGAAAAAAACCTATTTCTTCCTGAAATAATCCATTGAAGGAATTGTTCAATGAAGGCATGGCATGTGCCCCCCACTTAATAACAAAAAATGCATATGAAGAAAAAGATGCATGAAATACATGATAACAGTATCCTAGAGTTCTTGTGCCCCCCCCCCTCCTCCTACACTTTTTTCCTCCATGATACACTTATGCTACCTAACTGGGCCCTACCCTCTGTAGGGCCCAGTTTGAAACCCAGACTGGAATTTTCCAGGTGGACAGAAGCTGTATATTCTGACCATTTCCTGCTGGCAAAGAGCTGAAAAATGGTAATTACTGGTTGTTTTACAACTGGAAATTTACCATCAGAATTTTATTCAGAGGACCCTTCAGTTGGAATACAGCTGAATTTACAGTTGAAATTCAGCTGCTTCTATAGATGGACCTCCAGCAAGAATAGACAACAAAAACATTCTCATTCCACCAATGTATTGCCATTAGGAACAATCTGGATCTGACTTTACTTTCCAGCTGCTACCCAGCTGGAAAGTATGGGAAAGTAATGGGTCTGAATTTCCAACTGGGGTCCAGCTTGAAATTATAGCTGTTTGCAACTAGAATTTTCAGCTGGGGGGTTCAAAATCAAACTTTTGGCAAATTACTTTAAAGGTTATACATAGCTAACATTTCATGTAAAATATAATGAGTGCATTAAAAATTAGTTACAGAGGCATCTGAAGGTCAATTGCCCTCATGTGTAACCTCTTGCAGTGGCATATTTTCCAGGGAGGGGGCAGGGGAAGGTGGCTGCCCCCCCTGGCATCCCTGGGACAGGGCTTGGTGCCCCCACTCTGCTGCCCCGTCCCCCCTGACTCTTCAGCCAAAATGCACCACTGACCTCATGCCATGTTTTAGTTACAACCATAAGACTTGTCTATGGATATTCATCACATATCAGACATGATGCCATTTGCCCAACACACTTAATATTGCAATGCAGGTAAAATATATTATACATCATACAATTGTTAACATATGAATGCATATATGCTGGTATATGGCAAATATATGATCATACATGACCATTAGAGTCATACGTGGAATTTTCACGTGGGAATGCACTATGCTTCTCCAATATGATAACAGTAGTTTAACATATCCAGCTTAAGGCATTCTGGCATTGTAAAATTTCACAAGAATATCACTGAACTGAATTAACGTTAAACCAATCAACACTGGCAAGAGTGCTAGTATGAAACCATGCAGAAAACTGAAGTATCAGAAAACACCATCAGGGCCAACCCAAAGCCATCAAATTCCAGAGTTTCAGGTTAATATTCATTAATATATGGGCTACATATCCCCACTGCAAACACCAAGCTGCTTTAAATCCAATTCCACCTTCATATAGTATAGGCATATGTCATTTGACATCAGAAATTTGGAATCCAAATTTCTTATTTTTAGATTACCCTGTTTTGGGAAACTTCCAGTTGCTGTAGTTGAGGGGACATGAAAAGAAGTCAATAAAAATAATATAATATTAATAACAACTAATGAAAAAAAGCCAATTTCATGGTTAGCTCAAAGGAAGATACCATTGTTCCTCTACTCCTCTTATGGCAAGGCAAATGCTGAGAGTATTCCAAATCTCGTTCTATCAACAAACCAAGTATTGGGTTGGAAAGAAAGTCTTGCAACACTTTCTAAAACAAAAAAAAAAAATTTTCAAAGGAATGATGGGCTTTGCATTTGTATATGCTGGAATGTTCTCGAAGCTTCTGCCCTCGCGGTATATAAGGCGGCTTCTGCNTCTTCGCCCCATCGTCTACTACGAGTTCCTCCAAGGACACTCTGCGAGAGCCGCCACGGACAACATCTGCGCTGCATCCAAGGGCAACATCGTCCACTATTCCACGGTGTCTCGATGGTTCAAACGCTTGGAATCTGGTGAAACGACCTTCAGAGATCGACCACGCTCAGGACGTCCATCTACAGTCGATGATGAAGCCCTGAGGAACGCCCTCAACGCGAAGCCGGACGCCACCACTCACGAATCGGCGAGTACACTTGGAGTCACCCATATGGCCATCGGCAACCATCTGAACGACCTCAGCTATCAGAGTGTGCCATTAACACTTTCACAGTCCAGTTTTTCTGAAACCTCCCTGGAAAACGACTGAAATTTCAGTGCATGACAGTGAAAGGGTCAAACTGTGTTCTGACTGCTTTCCCACAAGTTTGCCAACTGAATCATACCTTATTTGGTAGTATTGGCACACAACATAGGAAACATTTAGTTCACAAAAATATAAATGTCCCTTGCAATGCTATATGGGATAGTTTCCTCTAAAGCTACATGCTGCACAAATTGTCATGATTTTGTCCTAGCATGACAGTGTACCAAAATTATGGAAGCATTTGTTGGAGAATGTAAAAAAAAGGCACAATCAAGAGCTTGTTCATTCATTCATAAGACTTCTAAACCTGCAAATTTTAAGTTAGTGTCACCCCAATGCTTCTCAGCATGAATAACCCTACTCTCAGTGTATTTTCAAGCAAGCAACTCCTTCATGGATTGTTTATTAGACCTCAGCTGGAGGTTTATTATGATTAATGATACAAATAAAACCTATCTGAAAATTTTCTTAGGGTGCACTGTCTAATTGGGTGAAAAAAGTGAAAAGTGATTTGCTGAGTCTTCACAACTTTCCTGTGAACCCCCGGGGATCATAACCTGGGTTGGGTGAATTGGGTGACAATTCATTCTAATGTCAGTGGTGTTAAGCTGGTTGAGGAACCAGTAACTACTGAATGGGATACTAAACCATTACTCACCATCCTGGCTTCAAGGCCAGCAATTTTCAGGACATCATCTTGACAACTCAGAATGTTCTGAACACTCACTGGGATCAAGGTGTCAATGCGTGCTCGTCCCTAAATGATCAGAAACAGGAATTAGAACTCCACATGTACACAAACTCACATTATACACAGCTAAGTCAGTGATACTATGGTACTGCATAGTGAATACTGAACTAGGAATGGACACCTCTATCATCATGTCATAAATGAACAAAAGGATACAGCAATGGCTGTTTATATAGCCTGGATTATGCCAAAAAGATCACCTTGCGATCAGCTTGGGTGCTGGGAGAGAAATCTCCAGTTGTATTCATGAAACCACCTCCTCCTCCTTTCATAGGTGATTGAATTCCTGAAAATTAATGTAACCAGTAGGTCATTATGGACAGAATCAGAAATTGGCTGATAAAAAATAGCTACCTTGTCAAAGACCCTAAATGACTATCAGAAGTCAACCTAAGTGAAATACCAGCAGATAACCAACCCTCTGCATTTGGCTGTTTAACAGAAGTAACATCATCATGTAAAAAATGAAGAATCAACACATTAAGATATATCCATGCTCAGAAAGAATTGAGAAAAAATCAAATCTCAAAATGAATTATCAATACATCCATCCTAACAGATAAACATGATTCCTTTGTTCTGTACCACAAAAATTACCCAAGCAAAATTTAATTTGTCTGAAAGTCATATCCAAAATGGCAATTACTGCAGATAATCCCTGGGCTTAAAAAAAAAAAAGGATGTGTCATGTATGGTGGGTCCCAATAAGAGGGTAACACTTTTAAATATTTGTGCATATATAATCCAGACTTCATTCCTATTTTCATGTGTTATTTTGTTATTCATGCCTATTTTATTTTATTGTAAAAGATTGTTTTGCAGCTTAGCTAAGGAAGCAATTGTGTGCCAATAAAAGCATTCCTCTTAATTTAATGACAGGTCACCTTACTCTTACATAGAGAAGTCATTTTGTGACTCTCGTAGAACTTGAAATTATGGCCAAGAATATTCAAGTGGCCTATTCAGCACGTTTCCATAAAGCTAAACCTTCCAGGAAAACTGCAGTTCATCAGGAGTTCCAGGAGATGGGTTCTAGGGCTAAGTGAAATTAAAAGTGCAAACGCATTGTGCATAGTGCTAAACACATGGCTTGTGTAAATAATGATGCAAAAAATACCTTTACGTGTCCATTGTGCCTCTGAGCAGTTACTGGCTCAAGGGTATCATACTTAGAAATTTAATCCCAAAATTTAAATTCCACATAAGGAACATTATTGTTATTTGAGATAAAAGTGTTACCCTCTTACTGAGGTACACAGTATGTGAGGTGCCTAACCCACCTGACTGATTCCACATGTTGAGGGCTTTTCCTGCGAAGGACTCCTAGGGCCTAACGTTAACCCTTTTGCATGAAAACTGGAATAGGCCCAATAACAGTTAGGTCCGGCCTGTTTCAACTCTTGCGCTTGGCCTGTCCTTGGGTCATATATTGTAAGCCTAGGCTCAGGCTGAACATTAAGTCGTGACACTCTTGTGACCACTTTGGCAGCCAGGCACATGAAACAGAGTGGCTATTCTGCTGTGTGTACCTTAGTTACTATACTGCTCGCGCACAGAACAGTTTGGTAGACCTTTGCCGCGTTCGCTGGGTGCCAGGGGTGCCAAACCTTTCTTTCCTCGTTATTCCTGGCAAGCTAACAGTGCTCTATGCAATCAGTGCTGCGAATTACTACCGAATTTTACCTGCTTTAGTTGCTTTAAAATGGTTTATAAATAATTTAAACACATTTTCCCTTCTTTTACCTGACGAAAAGTGAGTGAACTAAGCAGGGCCGGATTAAGGGGGGGGGGGGGGGGCAAAGGGGGGTGTTGCCACGGGCCCCCCCCCCCCAGGGCCCCCCACCCCCCCCCCCCCCAGGAGGGGGGGGGGGGGGGGGGGGGGGGGGGGGGGGGGGGCAAAGAGGGTTGTTGCCATGGGCCCCACTCCTCCAGGGCGCCCCACCCCCCACCCCCCAAGGAAATTAAAAACTTTTTTTAAAAAGTATTTGCGTAAAGTGGGGGGTTTGGGAAGCCCAAAAAATCAACTTGCCCCGGGCCTCACAACATCTTAATACGGCCCTGGAACTAAGCATCGGAGAATGGGCGCTCTGGACGAATTTTCGGCGCATAGATATTTTCCAACAGACTTAAAGGGCGACCAAGAACTCAGGTAACACGCACATATAATGACAACATTGTGGAAATACTGTACCACAACATATGAAATGTTGTGCCAATGTAATCGAAAACATTATTACAACATCTAGATGTCTTTTATTTTCATGTCGTCACAACTTTTCCTCTATGTTGTGGCAACTTATCCCTTCCGGCGTAACAACATTGTGACGACATTAAGTGAGAAGTGATTGTTGTGGCAGAATGGTTTGTATATAAGACCACTCTCACACCCTTCCATTATAACTTGCAGCTGTCTGCCGTGTTAATGCTGGCAACTGTGCGACCGCATGACGAGTATTTACTCGAAGCGACGCTGAAAGGGTTAAAAAAAAAAAACCTCATAATCCATTCTTACGCAGAGAAAGCAAGAGGCAACTCTTGTTTTGAAATCTGCTCCTTTAAAGAGCATATTTAAAGCTCCAGCACCTCCTCTAGATAAATCAGAGCCAAAGGATATTTCCATCACCGAGGAGACGATCGTGAATATGATAGGGAAGTTGAAGGTGGGCAAAGCGACCCAAGAAATCCCGATGGGATTCCCAAGAGAGTCATTAAGGAAACCGCGAGAGAAATACCGGTTCCGCTAAGAATTATATTCGAAAGCAGCTTTTCGCGCGGGGAAGTACCTAAGGACTGGAGACTAGCAAACGTCGTACCGATCTTTAAGAAGGGCGAAAAGAGTCATCCAGGAAATTACAGGCCGGTAAGTCTCACGAGTATCCCAGGGAAGATCATGGAGAGCATACTAAGGGACCATCTCTTGGATTTCCTCGAAGGAAACGCGCTCATTCGGGACTCTCAACACGGCTTTAGGAGGCGTCGAAATTGTCTCACCAATTTGCTCGAATTCTACGACTGGGCGACGGAAGAGAGGGATNTGACGAAGTAGTGGCTGCCCCGCGCTGTGACTATCTTTAAGAAGAAACTGGATGCTTTCATGGACAGGCAAAAAGGTGGGGGGCAATGTTGACGTAGGTACTAGACAGTAAGCAACTAGGATAGTCAAATAACAAAAAACAAAACAAAACAAATATAAAAAATATATAGCTTTAAGAGGGTTAGGCCTACCCTAAAATTAAGGAACGCTCGACCTCGACACGTGATATCGAAATGGGTGAAATCGCCTCTTGATATCACTAACTATCTTGAATCCTGAAATGAGTTACACACTTCCAGAAATTGTAACTATTACCAAAATTTGCACGCAAATTTTGAGCACTAGGATACATGGTATCACTAACAGCATTTGGAACATTGCAAACTAAAGCAATGGTAATGTTAACAACTAAATTTCAACTTTCTACTTTGTTTTTAACTTAAAATTACATTTTAAAAATTCAATATTACCTATTTTCACCAAATTTGATTGTTCTTACTTCCTGTTTCGAACAAGACCCAAACTTAAAATTAGTGTCCAATGAAAGCTCTCTCCAAGCTCTTCCTATTGATGTATTACTCGTATTGTTACTTTTACTTTTCGCGTCTGTCTTTTTTTTTTTTGCTTTTGAACTAGCCCACTTTCCAATTAAAAGATATTACTCAAATTAGCAGCGAGAGCAATCCCAGTTAAACAACCAGGCCAGGGGATATCTCACATTTGACTTATAAGTATCTCTATTTCTATTATACACTTGCATCGAGCATTAAAATATTACTATTCGACATGTTTATGGATTTGACATGACTACAATTTAGTCGGTATTTGAATGCGCTTAAAATTGCCAAAATATGCATGAGATATGCACGAATATGGAAAAGTATGCAAAAACATATTTTTTTTATAATGCAGTACGAATTTTTTGGAAGATGGAACTGCAATGTACATTACATGCCTCTACTGGGTTTATAGTTGGTCTATTCTTGTCACTGCCAGAAGCAAAGCCAGGAATTTCCCAATGGAGGGCTAAGGGAAACGAATGGGGACTAGAATTTCCTAAACATCTCGGGAGGGGTGGAGGTGACGGATGAATTTAGAGCAAAATTACGGGGCTTCCCAACCTCACCTTCCCCCCCCCCCCCCCTCGCTACGCTGCTGGTCGGACTTCATAACTGCATGAAAATTTTCATCGAGGGGGGGGGGGAGGGGACGGATGAATTTAGAGCAAAATTACGGGGCTTCCCACCCCCCCCTCCCCCCCCCCCCCCCCTCGCTACGCTGCTGGTCGGACTTCATAACTGCATGAAAATTTTCATCGGTAGCCCATAAAGAAAGCACATTTTCCGGAAAACCCTTATTTTTCCCATAAAAATGGGAGAAATAAGCATAAATATGCACATATACACAGATATATGCACATCCTGAGAAAAACGTGAAAATATGCATTTTTTGGCGTTTTTAAAATGGCATAAACGGTTTCCTCTACCAATGAGACATGATCCTATCTGGGTTGCATGTTCACAGGAGGCTGCAGAAAAAATATGCATTTGCATAAAAATCCGCTCCCTAATAATAAGACTATCACAAAGCCATATGCCAAAGCTATATGTCAAAAGTCAGTGTTCAATAGAAAGAGTTTATACATTTGAGCGAAAATGAACAGGAGTTTGGAGTTTAAGGTTTTGAAAATCTAGAACTGTACGGAAAAAAATTTCCTCCATCATGAACAAGTTCGGTAGGTGCGATATGCAGTCCGGAAGGAATTCACACATTCTACCAGCGGCTCAAGATACTCAAGGCTGAGGACTTGGCTCTTCTCGATCTCCATGAATGCTCTCATACCCGTCAGAGTCATTCACTCTGAAGTTCCTTGAGCCCATCATCTATTGGGTTGGAAAGAAAGTCTTGCAACACTCTGCGCAAATTTTTCAAAATTTTATAACTTTATTGAAATGCAATTTCAGTCTACAATGTAATGACCATTGTTGTCTATGACATGTTCCCAACGCACGGGTAACTGCTCGATGCCCTTTGCCCAGGACTCTGGCGATTGCGAAGCGAAGAAACGGCCGACATCATTTTCGAGCTGTGCTCGATCGTCTTGTGCCTTGTCCCGCAGGTGATTCTTGAGGGCCCGGAACGAGTGACAGTCGGAAGGGGTTCCCAGCCCGGTTCCGAAATCGTCTGGCGAGTCATCTTCGCAACACGTGGACGAGCGTTGTCATGCAGAAGGAGAACTTTGTCGCGTTTGGGACGCTCTTTTTGAATGACGCCAGCCAACTTCTTGAAGTCGAGCAGCGTAGACGACGGCAGTCACGGTGGTACCGGTTGGTAGGAGCTCATAGTACAACATTCCTTCTGAATCCCACCGACAGCAGAGAAGAACCTTCTCGTGGAACCCCGGTTTCGGTTCATGTGGCGGCAATTCTCCTCGTGGAAGCCACTGACTCTTGCGAGTATGGTCGACGTCGAGGACCCAGCTCATGTCCAGTAACAATTTCCTTCAGAAGGTCCTTTCTGTGCGGACGAAGGAGCAGTGATTCTCAGACACTGACACGGCTTGCTTTGTCAGAGTCGCTGAGCTGATGAGGGACCCATGTCGAGTAAACCTTCCGATAGCAGAGGTCGTTCAGATGGTTGCCGATGGCCATATGGGTGACTCCAAGTGTAGTCGCCGATTCGCGAGTGGTGGCGTTCGGCTTCGCGTTGAGGGCGTTCCGCAGGGCTTCGTCAGAAAGTGTTGCAAGACTTTCTTTCCAACCCAATAGGTGCACTTTTAAATATGGTTATTTGAAGGTGAGTACTACTCGATGTATGAGCCTTCGCTCTGACCAATATGTTTATTGTGCCGGAAATTGACATTTTCCTTGGCAGAACTGAGAGAAGATGCTCTCTCCTTGGTCTTCGTGGTACACCTTCGTGGATGTGCTAGACAAGTACTCTTCAGTCTAGGAGTCCTCCCTCTATCAGGCATGCGTTGTTTCGGATCTCTCCGCTCTTCCTTGGGGAAGAGCGGATGTATGTATCGTGTTTACGTGGTACCCACCGCTTTGGATCATGAGACATTCATAAGACGTTGACATAGACCAGAGGAAGAGCCAGGATTTCATCGAGGAGGAGGTGAAGGGGGGGGGGGTGCTTAGAAAACCGGAAGTAATCCCAGATTTCCACAGCCCCGTCGTAGCTATCAGAGTATGAAGTTCTTCATAGGCACTATGTGAGGGCGCACTCTTCATTCATTTTTAGGATTGACTGCTGCCACGAAGTGTACAGTACAATGGTTTGAGGTTGTCGGATCTGGCCCCAATCATTTCCCATGGATTCGTTGAATCGACGGCACTTGGCCACCAAACTTCCCATAGGCAAAAATAAATGAAAGACAGTTTCTGTAGAGGGGCTTGCCAAGAGGGGGGTTTTGGGGAGGTCCCTTTGGGGTTCTGACGCTCAAAAATTTTTCTCACAAATTTTTTAATTTGACCACAAATATAGGGTGGGTTATCAGTTTTTTTCATATGTGAACCCCCCCCCCCCATTCGGATTTCCTGGGCACGCTACTGTTGCCAGATCCGCGTTGTTTATTCTTTTCGCAGTTCTTTTCTACAAACTTTTCTTCAGATCAGCGTCTTTTGGCCACCATGAAACATAGAAAACTCGATTTAAAAGATGTAGGTTTTCGTTCTGATTTGAAGCTAGAATCCGAGGGGGGAAGTGACAACAGGATAAAAATTTCAACGCGTGAAATCCAGAAGTATATTGAAACACAACAGGATCCAATGCGAACTTCATAATTAAGAACGAACAACTCTTCCATAAATGGAGTCGGAATCCTTCAGAATCTGGCCTGAAGTTGTGCCCTGGAATCAGCTTCAAGCACCGTGCTCTTCGATGATCTGCAGCCTTTGAAGAACCCAGCGGCTCTAGAACCGAAAATTCCGATGAAGCCAGAGACGAAACCAGGCCAAATACAAATCATATGGAAATCCCTAGAGTCGCATATGCAGCGTACCTTTTAGTCTCCGTTAGCCTCTACCTTTTTTGTTTTAGTAAACGGATATGTATGTTCGACTGACCTTGAGAAGTCCTCAGCCTGTTCTATCGTCTCTGGCAGATTAGCACCGAGGGTCTCCGGGAGATGAAGGACCGAGATCCCTGCTAGCACAGCCACTCCTCCAAATATCAACATGGGTAGAGATCTCTGGACTGTTCCCTGAAAATCCCCTTTCGATTAAGGATTCATTCATATTCCTTCTAAATGCTTCGTCCGGCATAATCATGCATGTCAACTTCCAAAGCATTCCAGCACCGCTAAAGTAGATGTGAGTAATAAAAAAAGGCCTACGAGTTTAAACCTCTCCGATTTATTCATACAGACGAACTTGAGCGTTTTCATGAGCACCACGCTGTGCACTGGAGGTTCCTGTACGATAAATGTATATTTCTTCACCCGAAATCCCCGTAACTCATTGCAGACGATTCACGAGAATTGTGAAGATCGTTGGGGAAATTCCACATTGAAATTGCGAAAGTGACCCGCGAAGTCTGAGCGAAAATATCTGAATTATCTTGAGTGATCCAAGCACACTGGCGACTCATTCCGTTTCGCTATGCCCTCTCGGTTTCGCAGAAAACTTGCTTGCGGGGTGAGGGGAAGAGGGCATTTTCTCAGCTACACACAAAACTTTTTTGTCCCAATTATAACACACTTGGGATGTGCCAAAAGATGTGTCGAATTTATGACACATACGTTTTGTGTCAAAAAGTCTGTGTGAACTGCATAATTTCGGCAATGCTAATCAGATTAGCCGACTGTCATTAGTTGCCATCAGGTTATAACCTGAGGAATGGAATGGAATTTCGAATTTCCAATGGAACTAGCGTTCCATTCGAAATAGATGATGAGCTGCTGCACGCAAACTTTTGGTGTCGAATGACACATTTTGTACTCGTATGGTCGGTCATTTAGACACACTTCGTTTTCATATTTTAATATTCGACACACCTTTTGGCACATTTCAAGTGTGTCATAATAGGGACAACCACTTTCGTGTCAAAAAAGTTTTGTGTGTAGATTGTTTCGAGATTAGCATAGGCAGAGTGAACTCTGCCATCGAATGCCAATGCAAATCCTTTGGGGAATGCTGATGCATGCACCAGGTTGATGCACGGTAAGCATCCCAGTTACCCTACATCGATGAAACACCCTAACATGTTGAAATTGCCGCCAGAGATCTCATCTTGGCACTGCCTCGCAGTTAGACACTCAACAATGGTCCTATAGAGAAGTGGCTTGAGGGAATGAAAAAAAGGAAACTGGCACCTTCAATGGCGCCGCCCATCTCCTTAATTCTTCCGGAATTTATCAAGTTTCCTCCGAATTGCTTCATCCCACTATCTCGAAACTTTGCTCGATTTTTATGCAAATCTTTAGGAGCTTTCCTACCACGTTTCTTCAGTAATAACCATCTAAGTAACCGTTTCGGGCGATTAGTATGACCCCATAGCCGCTATTGAAATTGGATTAATTGGTATGTGTTCTCCATTAATATTCATCCCACACACTTGAAATTCCGGTAAATTTCATAGTATGCTAGTATGAGCTTGTGTACCAGAATTCAGCAAGATCCTCAACTCTTTCTTGGTCGTGCTTTTTTTGGCGATGAGCGTATAATACGCTAGTGTAGTTCAGGATTTTCAGTATTTGTGGTAAAATCTGCTGAGCGATACATTGCCATTTCGGGCAATAAGCGCGGGGCTCCGCTAGTCACATCAAAATGGGACTAAACTAGGGGTCACATTTTCTTATCTCTCTCCATTTTGTATTCTAAGACCGAAAGTGAACGGTTTGAGATCATCTCGAGACGAAGAGCGACTGGATTACGTACGAGGTCCGTGACGATGGGGGCGAGGATCCCCCCGATTCGGCCGCACATGGAAGAAGATCCGATCCCGGCATTCCTCACGACCGTCGGGTAGAGTTCCCCCGTGAACACGTAGATGATGGCGAATGAGGCCGCCAGTCCGAGCTTCCCGATCAGCGACAGCGTCACTTGCAACCACACCGGATCTGTCGCAGTCGCACCGCATGCTTACCGATCGACTAGTGTGTGCCATACCACGTAGTCATCAATATATGAAAATTTTTAAATTGCCTTAAAAATAGTATTAATTGGATTTTCGGTTAAATATTCTCATTTCGGTTGGGAAGATATTTACAGTTTTCTGTTGAGGACATTCCTCGGACACATCTACTCCCTTTCTTCGCTCCGGTTCATCGATTAGTCTTCGTCGACTTTGCTGCTCGACTTAACGTCCACAACGAGATCGGTTCTTTCCACCAAATTCTCTCTCACGAGATCGGTCCGGACCCGAACTGCGTGGCATGGTACAGGTGGATTTAGAAGCACCCGAAGACGGAAGCAAAATGTTACTTGCCAGAAGAAGACGAAAGACGCCGGCAATAGGCGGACGCCAAGGTCAGAAAGAGGATGAGAATTTTCGTTTAGGTAATGAGGCGAGATTGACGGAGTAGACGTTCAAGGTATTGAAGGAGAATTTGTAGGAGAAGATTGGGAAAGAATAACATTTGGATTTATGAATTAGTCAGGTGAAAGCAGTGGCGTAACTAGGTAATTTTCCGCCAGTGGCGAGTGACTGTTACTGCCGCCTCCTTGTTAATTGTTATTTTCACATGCACACACGTTTTACTGGAGAATGAGATTTATTAAATATTTCTGTTATTCAGGACTGATTCTCAGCACAAATAATGTAATCAAAATCAATTCTTACAAACGACTACAATCAAAATTCAGCCCTTCTTGATTTACCGGCTGCAAAATCTTTAATNATTCTCAGCACAAATAATGTAATCAAAATCAATTCTTACAAACGACTGCAATCAAAATTCAGCCCTTCTTGATTTACCGGCTGCAAAATCTTTAATAACTTCGCTGAAATCAATGGAAGAAGCTACTTGACATTCGATTGACAGGATAGCAAGATTTGTAAGTCTTTCTTGAGACATTTTAGATCGCAGGTACGACTTAATCAGCTTCATTTTGCTGAAAAATGACGTTTGCCGCCCTCAGTTCAGAGGGCGGCAAACGGAAAAAAATCGCAAAATCGCCAAAATGGGCATTTTTTCCAGTGGGCGGCAAAATGGGCAAAATGAAAAAAATTTCCGAAATTTTGTTTCTTTGAAAAAAAAATTTCTCTTGAAAGGCTACTTTGCCACCCTCTGGACTGTGGCGCCCGGGGCGACCGCCCCACTTGCCCCCCCCCCTAGTTACGCCACTGGGAGAAAGTATTCACAAGTCCGACCTTCAAAGAAGAGAAGGAAGTCTCCCCCTCCGGATCGATCGATTGCAAGAAATCCAATTGGTCCCCAATGGCTTTCTTTTGTTGGACGAATTCGTAAAGTTCAAAAGGACTAAAGAAAATCTGATGGGGGGGATGGTAAATGGAGATTTTGTACTGCTTCTTACGGACATATACCACGTATAAGAAGGTTCAAGTTCATTGAACCAATGTTAATTGAAAGTCACCCAGTGAATTTTGAATTTTATCTTGTGGAGTTTTATTGCCATGCCACTCTGAGTCAATGTAACTGTGAGATTACACTCTAATTAGCACATATCACCATGTTATTTTCCTCAGAAGTTCAAGTTACTGCAACCAGGCTTCACTCATATCACCACAAGACAAACTGTCTCATCATGGTCTCCACTGCTAATATTGCTCTGTTTTTATTTTGCACTTTGTTCTTCATAAAAGAAGGAAAGGAAAAGTTTAACTACATGCTAATTCGATTTAAAATATTCTGGAATGAAATTTACAACGTTCATTTTGGTTTAGTGCTTCGAGCACAAAAATTTCATGCGAAGTTATAATGAGATAAAAACCAATTTTTAATGTTGAAAATGTTTCAAAATTTTTTAACCGATAATTTTTCTGCTATTTAGATTAATAGTAATTATGTTGCGTCACCAGATGCTCATTTCATCATGCCAAACTAATTTGGGTCACAGAGGGTCATAGAGTTCAACTACGTCAAATGTACATATATGTATGTTGACTGATTTAGATTTCTGTGCGGATGAAACCAGGAAAGATTGGAAAGCGAGAGTTATCTCTTGGCGATGGAGTGTGTATCCCAATTTTCGAAGATAATCACACGTTGAGAGGATGATCCTAGCATTCATATGAAAAATGGTCCTCGATCTGTGAGGAGCACTTCCTGCATGAGAGCGTCATGGTCTCCGTGCTCCTACTCTCCCAAACACTTCGACTTCGCCCTCTCTTACAAAAAAAAATTAAACATGTTGAAATTGAAATCAGCCAATCGACGGTGGTTCATTGTTGGATCACCGATATTCAAAATCCATTCAACAAGACTTGAACGATGGTCACCGTTGACTCGCCGTAGAGTTACCGTTGAACCCAATTCCACCGGTGATTCACCGTTGATTCACCGATGTTCGTGAACCACTTCACGTTCCCTGAACTTTACGTTCCCCAGCAATCTATCTGGACACTTTCCTCGACCGGTTTCGGAATTCAATGCTTCGAAAACGACCGACACTCCTGGCTTTCACCACTGCCTCCCGATTCATGGAATTGATGCCGTTTCATCGCAGGTATAGCTAAATTTCCATCGATATGTAGCATGTCACCGAAGCTACGAAACTCGTATGCGAGCTTGTAAAAGAACTTTTGAAAAAGTTATTGTTCAGTTGAGACAGACCTGTGGGAAGGAATCCCGAGACGAGGCAGGCAATCCCTCCGAGGATTTCGAAACCGGCCAGAGGGAATTTCCGTCCCCATCGATTGAGGACGAGGAGACAGAGGACGTAAGCCGGGATCTCCACTAGCATCGACAATGCGAAATTCAGATGGGCACTCCCGCCGAGCGACGTGGAGTTCAGACTCAGCCCGTAGTACACCATCACGTTGGCGAACCTGCAAGGGGAGGGTCATACGGTTCCGTCTCGAACGAGAGGAAATACTGTATAACGGGAAAAACCGAATGCTCTGAGGACGGTCACCAGTTGAAGCAAATGTTGATGAATTGGATTCGGAGTCTCGGCTTCTTCAAGAATGCCAATAAGGATTCGCTCGGAGGAGCTTCTCCCTCTTCTGCCTACGATACCGACATTTCCCACTTTGCAGAATTCCACTTCTTACGGGAGGAGGAGAAAACTGAGCGAAGAACTCACAGTGCCTTGGACAGAGTCAGGGGGGAGAAGGTGTTCGGGGATTTCCTTCCCATTCGTTGCAGCCATCTTTCGGACGGTCCGTCTCGCCGACTCACCCTTTCCGTTCACCATCTCCCATCTCGGACTCTCGGGTACGAACCTGTTTGCGCATGGAAACTCGGTACTCGTCTTCTTGCACGACGCGAAACGCATCCAGCTCGAGAGCGGACGATGTAAATTTAAAAAGATTCTCGGACTCCCGGGAGACTTTCCTTCTCACCAGTAATAGGCAAGGAAGATGAGACCAGGAACGTGTACGACCAACTGAAGCGTTTTCCAATCCCGAATGAGATAGGCGATTCCTCCGAGTAATGCACCGCCTCCGGCAAAGAAGAACTCGATGGAAATGCCGCAGAACATCCGCTTTGATGGCCCCACCAGTTCCAGTCCTGGAAAGTCGTGAAACGCGCACATCGGAGCAAACACTGGGCAGAGGATGTTAGAAGACGGGAAGGACAACGAAGGACAGCCCCCTTTTACCCATCCCATTAGAAGATTGAAGTCTCGAGTGATGACTCTACAGAAGCCCCTTAGGCCGATCGGGTTCGCTCTTCTACGTGGGGACCTACCTATTTGTCGCTTTCCCCAGGTACACTCGAAGACGTGAATGGGTTTTTTTCTTCAGATCTCTTAATTGACTTAACTATTCAGATAGGTGCGTCTAATCACCTATGGGTCGTACGAACTTGAATCTTGATAGGGCAGTCACTTTATACCCATGAAAGGATTATTGGTATTAATCATTACATAGGAGACGTCATGCATCGATTGGTGGTGGCCATAAAAGCGTAATGCAGGGGCACTCTCGTCAGTTGCTTGGGAGAGTGGAATTGCACACAGCGAATCTCTCCATAACAGCAACGCATAACTCATTAACGTCGTCACTCACACTCAAATGTTGCAGTCAGTTGTCAATCATCTTCGTTCTCAATGAAGGCATCCAAGAGTGAACACGAACACGATGAATAAGGAAAACAGTGGACTTTTCGAACATTTATGGCCCTCGTTCCCATTCCAGCCGATGTGCGTCACCCCCTTAGGTGATGACGTTGGACCCACTATCTTCTCTACATGTTGGAACTGCCTCACCGAGATCATTCTACCCATAAATCCTGAGATACACTTCTGAGTAGCCAAATCGATTGACTTTTCCCCCTTCAAGGAATTCAATCGAGATATGTCATTTTAGTTACTGTCAAGGTAGGCTTGCTTACAAAGGCAAGAGAGCAATCTCTGACGATGTCATGCATGGAAGTGATGGCGAACTCTCGGTTGCTCTTTGGAGTTACATTTCTCCAATAGAGGACAAATGAGCCAGAAGAACGTGTCGCAACATTAGGGGTTTGAGTTTCTCGTGCCATGGCAAAATGCGTCCGCAGTGCCGACGCGTTTCGTCATGACGTGTGCTATGTGGACTCAGCACAGCACTCAATGTCTCTGTCACACGTCTGCAGTGAATCGTGGCCTCAATTCTTCTGGTACTACCACTTCCATCGAGTTGACGTTCGTGATTGAATGGCGTGCATTCCCTCAACGACAAGTCCACATGCAGCCCTGGATTCCTTCGTGAAAGTGGTCGAGTGACCAAGAATGCCTTCGACGACGTCGTCTCGGAAACTCTTCATGGCTCAGCTCTCAACAGTGGTGCAAACGTCACTTGCATGATTGAAGTCAAAAGTCAACCGACACGAATGAATCCCCTTTGCATTTCAGCGATCGACAAGTTGTTCCTTAAAGAGCTATCCTACAACACACTGTTATGATCTAATACATATATATGATATAATACACACTGTTGTGAGCTCCTGTACCGAGGGCCATTAATATAGCTCACCTTCTTGGTGTTGCCTTTGTTGAGAACGCGTGTATAGTAAGCACAACTATTTCCCACTTCGCGGCCATGATGCGTCATGGCACGGTCCCTAACAACCTCTGCGTTCTGATCGGCCGAAGGGACTAAGAGGGAGCTACCCTCTCGTTACCGAGAGGGAGGTAGGAAGCATACCTATGACGAAGCAAGTTTGGAAAAGACCGACGTTCCCGATGGCAGACAGGACCCGCATGACCATGAACCATACGAAAGACGGGGGGAAAGCTGCTACGCTTCCTGGTATCGTCGTCAAGAGTACACATATCATGAAGCACATCTTCCTCCCCCACCTGATTGCATTCGCATCCGGCGCATTAAAAAAAAGAGTAGTAAGAAACGAGAGAAGAGCGGATCTCAGAGCCTTACTTGTCGGAGACCCATCCCATGATGAGCGCTCCGACCAGGTGCCCGGCCATGTAAAGGCTTCTTGACAGTGGCTGCAGACTTCTCCGTTCGCACACCAGTTCAAACTATCGATAGAAAAAGGACAAATTCTATCGCGCTCTGTACATAGGTTCATTTGAACGATCGGACGATGTCGTTGATCGTAGAAGCGTGTTCCCCATGATCTCAAAGGTGTGTCCCCCAAATTTTATCGTTCAGTACTCAAGTACTTGTAGTACAGTACTCAATATAGTGGCGTTTGAAAACTCCAAACACTTTTTCAGAACCCTGTTGATGAATTTCAGATGAAAACGCCAGCGTAATGCATCAACTCCGAAAACACTACACATGGAATTCAGTCATGCACATAAAGAAATTCCGAAATCAGATTGTTTTAACCCTTTCGTGCATGATGACCACTGAAAGGACGGCCTTGATGTTAGCTTATTAGCCACGGTCCACTTGCCTCGAGACTTTTGGTGCATGCATTCCACTCCAGGGCACATCATCCATTGGTGCTTGCCTCCTAACGGTGAAACATGCGACTACTACGGCAGAGTACCACCTTAAACATAAAGCCAAACAAAACATATTTTTGTTTTGCGTTAAAAATTCATGCTGGAAAGGGTTAAAACGATCAAATTCAAAGCGATTGGGTGCCCAATGGCGTAAATTAAACACACCATGTTTCAGACGTTGGTGACAACATCGCCTATCATCTCTCAGTTTAGGTGAAGTCTAAGGACATGCTGATTGATTTTTATGCTACGGAAAGAAAACGTTTCTAGTCTCGCAGGCTAACTTCAACTGGCGCGTTCTCAGGAGTCGCATCCCGTACGATTCATCGATCGCGAGCCTTCCTCCATACCTGTGTCACGATAGTCGACTCGTAGATGGTATCTTCGAAGATCCACTCGTGACATTCCTCGGTGCTGCTGTTGTCATAAGTGCAACGCCCTTCTCTCGAATCGGAACTATTGACGAGGATGAATTTTTCGCATTCGGCATATTGATCTGGATGTGGGACTCCATGCCAAACGTGTTCCCCTGAATGGGAGAGTCGGTCGATAAGTTCCTGCAACTGATGCACATCTCCAGGATCATAAGAAGTTAGGATTAAAGCATATTTTCAGACAAGCCATTCCGTTCTCTACATTTTTCATTTCAACAAACGTTGCTTCCTCTTCGAGATAGAGACTAGAGTCTACAGAGCTCATGTACCTACTGACTTAACCCTTTCAGACCTGGCGTCCATTCCAATGGACATTGCTGTGTCTATGGCAATTTTTTAGGATTCTCGTGACTTTGCGCTCTATATTACGCTACAATGGGCACAATGCATGCATGGCTCAGTTCCATCAGAGGCCTTATTTCACCCATTAGTTTTGTAATCTTCAGTTATTTAATCAAATGTATAATATATAATATATGGTATGATATGGTAAATTTATACAAAATATAAAAACTACACATAAAGCATGAAAATTTCAATTACAATCACGAAAGAGCTCAAAAATGCAAAAAAAAAGGATGTTATTCCGATAGCGGCCTTAATTCAGGTCTGAAAGGGTTAAATGGCTCATTTTCGGCGACAGAAATACGCGGAATCACGAAGGAGCGTCCACTATTGAACTGCTCTGCAAAGGACATCCGTAGTGACTTGTTGAAAGTGCTGGAGTAAAGTCCTTATTCATATAGAACTGTTGCTGCGATGCTGCGTCGCTTCGAAGATCGCCGCCGGTCTCAAGAGGTCAGGACACCCAGTCTCGGCTATCTGGGATGAAAGTGTGGGGAATTCGTAGAAGAATTCGTCGACGACGGAAGGCGAACTATTGTTATGATAGTGACTCAAGCAGCATGTTTACGTATCAACAAGAATGTAACAAGATATCAATTTTTTGCAAACAATGTAAATTGCTTGTGATTGCCATGAAAATGACCACGTTTACGTAAAATTTACGTTCCTATATTTACGTCACCAAAGTGTACGTGCATTTTACATAAACTAGACGTCACTCCACCTGACGTGAAGTACACGATAACAGGAACCTCCAGTGCACAGCGTGGTGCTCATGAAAACGCTCAAGTTCGTCTGTATGAATAAATCGGAGAGGTTTAAACTCGTAGGCCTTTTTTTATTACTCACATCTACTTTAGCGGTGTTACGCTTTTTATTTCAGCAGTGCACGGGATTAGGGAAGAGTAGAATCCTAACCCCACAAGTACTACATCACTATTCTAAATGGAAGAAAGTTCCTTCGAACATCTACTACTCCTCCTGAGATTCCAATACGGGAGGAGAAGCAGTAGGTCATATTGGTACTCTTGAGTGTTATATTAGATTTCTCCCATTCCCTTCCATATTACAGAACTCTAGGGTGGTTGGACAAGTACGCGAATACTCATCCTCACTAACACTCAAGAGTACCAATATGACCTACTGCTTCCTCCTCCCGTATCGGAACCTCAGGAGGAGTAGTAGATGTTCAGAGGAACTTTCTTCCATTTAGGATAGAGATGTAGTACTTGTGGGATTGGGATTCTGACATGATGTCATTTTCATGGCAATCGCAAGAAATTTACATTGTTTGCAAAAAATGTATATCTTATTTACGTAAACATGCTGCTTGGGTAGAGTTCTGTAATATGGAAAGGAATGGGAGATATACAGTATAACAATTCTCTTCAAAGGTACTGATTGGCTTGTGAAATACGCATGAATTCTAGGGTAAAATTAACATAAATTTTCCGTAAAATGAATGTAAACATGCTGTCTGGAATGCAAACGGGAATGTCAATTATACGTAAAATTTACGTTAATTTTATATCACCGTTTACGTATCACAGAGGTGACAATTCTGCAAACATGTTGACATTATCTTGACAATGGTTTGCGTAAAAATGATATAAAATGGACAAAAAATGTACATTCACTTTACGTAAAATTAACTTAAACAGCAATTAACTTAAACAAAATTAATTGAAGCATGCAAGAACATCGCCACCGGAAATGAGACCTGGTTCATCTCTGTTGCATGAGGACCACCAAAAGGAAGAAGTCACGGTCCAGTCTGCACATCAATATCGATGCAACGTTGTAACGGGATCGAAGTCACAACATCCCGAATTTTGAGTCAATGTCGAAGAACATTCATCGCCACATTGAATGAACATTGCCTCAACGATGGAATGAGACAGGTCTCGAGAATTTCTCATCAAGCATTGCGCATGCGCCAATCAAATGACACATGTGGATGAATAATTTCATTACTGAAGTTTTCTGTGAATCATCAGCTCGATCTCAACCCTTTCTTCCATCTCAACATTGACTCTAGGCCGAGATCAGCCAAGGACATCCCGGCCTTGAGGAAGGATTGAGACTGCAGAGTGATTAACAGCCAAATCCGAGATTCCTGCCACTTTCTCTATAGATCCTTTCACGTAAATCACAGAATCAGATTTGGGGCAAATTTAGTAACATTCCAGAGAGCTTCCATGGAGTCAAATCTGGAGTTGCTTAGTGGCTATTAAGCGCAAATTCGTTTTCATCAAATAGGATTTGCGCTTACGACTTCACTAATCCATGAGTAGTCACAATATGCTGCAAATACTGCTAATTACGAATAGCCAGCATTTCATTGATGTCGATTCTTCGTCGGATTCTCAACTTTATCCAAGTCTCAAAGTCTCAACCTTTTCCCAACGTTGACACAACATGGTTATGCTGACTGGGTGGGATCCTATCAATATCGCCAACATATTATCAATGTTGATTGAAAACGCTTCTATTCAACGGAATTGTTGCCTCCGGTGATCCACGCATTTATCAATGCCCACTGCTTCACCATGAGAATGCCCTTACCCATAGGTCCGCAATTGTTTTGAGTTCCTTGAGCAGGAAAATGGTGCAATGGTGCTTCCCCCCCCCCCCATACACCTGACTGTATGTGATTTTTCACAGTCCATGTGATTTTTGGTTATTACCCTCTCTGAACGATGCTTTGAGCAGGGAACGGTATAGCAACCGACATGCTCTGGGAGCAATTTTTCGATGTATTCAGCTCATACCCAAAGAAGTCAAGTGTTTCCAGCGGTGAGAAGAGAGATTGAAAAAGGGCAATTTGCAAAGGAGACTAAATGGAGAGAGAATGCAGAGTGATTTTTTTCTTCATTCGTCTGAAGGTAAAAGAAAAGACGGTTTAGTTGCAGAAACTCATCGACTGACCCTCGTAGTTTGAGTTTTGAGACTCGCACTCCAGCCGACACCTGCAAAGAAACCACAGGTGTATTCCGTGGTGCGCAGAAAGGCACGGTACATTTCACTGAAGATTTACGAGCGGATCGACCGACACTCGGTCGTCGAGGGACCTTCCCGATGTCTTTCTTATCCTATTGAGAGTTCATGATATTTTTAGCATCTTGGAGGAAGCATTAAACTGGAATTTCCTTGTCGATGCAGGTCTCTCATCCGACTGAACTCGAGAGAGGATCACGAGGAGTAACGTGAAGACAAACCTTGCTCTGAGAAAGTGACCGTTAGGGGTCTTTCAGCTGGACCGCTTTTTTTTTTCTCATTAGAGGTATTCCAATAGACCATACGCAAAGCACAGGGGGTGTGACAGCATCTTTTCGATTAGCCTTATCTTGCACGGGCGAGTTCCCTATTTTTCAGATCATATAATCGCTCGAGTGTTCTGCATACGTATACAACGTTGTACACGTGTATGTCTGTCGACGCAGGCTTTCGTCGACGTTTATGGTATTACTGCAGCTTCAAGAAATTCACAAATTTCACAACACCTTACAAATTTGATGGACTTGAGATTTATTCGGTCGTGAAACCGTTTCATTCACGAAAAAGTCTATGAAAGAAAGAAAGGTGAAATTCTTAAAAGATTCGTGGAAGGGAGCGGAAAATAGATAGTGGTCCTGGGTCAGAAAAACAAAGGACTGCCACGCGGACCGTCTCCAGACATGATCTAATCCCCTCCATCCCCCTCTCCCTCCCCACCCCCTCCCCCTCTCCCTCTCCCTCCCTCCCTTAGGGTTAGAGCAGGGCTCCCTCAACCTTTTCGCGCGCGACCCAAAAAATCACGATCATACCATTCAGGACCCCAAGCACTGGGCGAAGTTAGACATGCTCCCCCACTTATGCTCTAATATAGCAAATAAAATCATAAATCAGCATTTAGCTGCCGGTTCGCGACCCTAAATATGATCTTGTCAACCCCAGGCTTGGGAACCCCTGGTTAGTCAAAATCTCTTCCTGCTCCGTTTTCGTAAATTTAATCTGGAGATGTCTTCAATTCTGAAATGTTTCTGTTTCTCGTGACGCGGTCTCACTGGATTTATGCTCGTTTTTCTCTCTTTTTTTACATCTTGTTTAATACTAGTAGATCGTTTGGACTGCTTCTGAGGGAGACTTCGCAGTCCCCACCCTAATCCATTCATTCAAAGTCTGTTCGCCTGGACGATGTGGTCATCGCGATAGGAGTACACGGATGCGTGTGAGTCGGTATATTGCACCATCCACTCCATTTTGAGGGGCACCTTAAAGGACCCTGCCTGAAAAGATGAGAAAAAGAGTCTCACCTGTGCCGAGGGATGCCAGCTGTGAACACCATGATCAAGTTCGTCATTGCACAGTACATCGCTGGGATGCAAATTAGGTAATAGATACGCTTCTGGAACTTCCCGAATTCTCCCACGTGCACTATCGCTTCGTCCAGTTCGTAATTTCTCATTTTCTCTGCTGCCGTCTCACCGTCATCTTGAAATTTCATTTCCGTCATGGTTCTCACCTGCGTAACGTAGAGAAATACAGGCCCCGTTGAGCTGACGAGACTTGTTTTCGGGAAGCAGTAAGCAAATTAGGAATAATGGAACACCGGAACTCGAAACGGCACCAATGGACAAAACACGTAACAGGAATGTGATGGACCCCTAGTCTCAGCTTGCATTTCAACCCGCGACGTTTGAGGAGACCTCCTCGTGAAATGGGCAGATATCAGGTTTGATGGCTTTACATACGTAGCACACGCATGCATTTCCGAGACCTGCCATCTCGACTTAATTGGGTATTTGGTCGAACTGGGCAGAGAGCGTTCTCAGGTGTTCCATATCCTGGGATACGGACTCGAGCTCGGCAGGTTGGATGCAGAGCCTCGAGTAAAGGCCGATGCACACTGACTGCGAAGTGCTGCGACAAAGCCGCACTGCGACCTTCTGCGAAGTTCGCAATCATTTCTCGACTGCGACCGTCTATGAAGCATCATCCACACTGGTCGAAGAGCTCCCAAGCCAAATCAAATTTGGAATATGGCTGTGTTAAATTTGAGAGCTCGTGCTGCAGCACCTATGCTTTTTTGTAGGTATTGTAGGTAGGTACGTCCTGTACACCGATCGCGTCATCAGATGGGAGAATTCCAGGCCCTAGTAGAAAATATCACCAAAGAGTGTTTTTCTCCTGTCAGTGAGAATGTCTTTTGAGCTGTTGAAGGCCCTTCTTGATCTGCTGGAAGAGAGGGCAGGACACAAACTTCAGACCATCCATATCCCTGCGCAAAGGGTGGCAGTGTCATTGAGTTGGGTAAATCCATAACCCACACAAATATTCTGAATATCTCAAATATATACAAATCATGCAGCACTAGGGAGAGTGCTGCATGGTTTCTCTCTCTGAACGAGGAGACTCAGGTTTTTTGCACTCGAAGAACAAGAGCTTTTCAATTTGAAAATTTTCAAATTAGAATTCATGAATTGAAACAATGGAAAATAATTAGGAATATAATTGATATCAAGACCTTGAAGATTTATTTACAGCTGCAAAATTATGTATCCAAGGATTTCATAACTTGCAGTCAATAGCTGCGCAGCGCGAACCACTGCTCGGATGCGACAGAAATGGATCGTTCCTATTCCATTGCGAAGCGTACTGCGACCGACTGCAAAAGCCCCACGCATCTCCAATGCGACAGACTGCGACGAGCTGCGACGGTCGTAGTGGTCGCAACGCAGCTCTTCGTAGTCGGTGTGCATGGCCCCTAACAGAGCCGAGCGACTTAGTCCTTCCACCTTGCACGAAGTCTACCGACCGGTCTACTGCCGGTCGTCCTCGACACCGAGTCCATCAGTTACACCGCTTAATTCAACGATATGAGTCGAGATCGGGTAGATGTCCTGATAAGCTTTAGCGCAATTCCCGAGTTTCATACCCTATTCCAGGAATAAGCAGTCTTCTACCAGGTATTGCACATATAGTGTGACACAAAAGTCACTTGACAAATGAGAAAAAGCCACTTTGCCTAAAATCTTTATTTCTGAACTAGCGGAGATGCTGGATGTGCTCTCCGTGAACCACAATGCAAGTGCTCCAAACGATTCTTAAGTTCATTTCCGACGGCTGCTAGTGTTGCTGGTGTGATTTACTGAAGAACATGAGTGATGCGGTCTTTAAGGTCTTTGAGGGATGCAGCTTCCGTCATAAACACATGCTGTTTAACATCAAGGCCTTCCAGAGTGGCTTGGTGCGTGAAAGCATTTTTCACTCGCCGTGGAGGTAACTGCGCTATAAAAGGCCGTGACTGCGCTCGCTTCATTCATTCCCCTTCGAGCTCTTGAGGAGGTTGGATTTCTTTCTGGCTATAACCCTCGCTCTGCCTGCGTCGCAGGCTCTAGACACTGACAATCTACAGGGTGTTCGTATGATATGTGCAACATCCGGTACATACCCTCGTAGGTCTGTCCGCGGGCCTCACGTTGGACTAATATCTACTCCCACGATGGGAGCATGGGGTATAAGGACAAAATTCGAACGGGTTTCGGTATGGCATTGTAAGGCGAGGCGAAGAGAGGAGTACCTCTCGCCTCCCTTCAGGATCACCAAATTGTATCATATTTCGTTGTTTTCGTCTTTTTCTGCAGCTTGCACTACTGCAAGAATGAAACGCTCCTAAAATATAACAACTGAGATATTACGGAAGAAGTGAATTTGGTTAGAATGAGAGGCTGACGGGTTAAGTGAAACGGGGCACGGCTAGACCCGAACACGAATGCCTCTCGAGTCCAGCACTTGGCCTTGGCATAATTGCCTTTTGCACCTCTGCTCCTGGATTCTACATATCTTCATGCTCTTTTCGACGCATATTAAAAATGCAGAAACATGAAAGAAAAACTAAAATTCATTATTCTATGAAAGATCACGATGGATGCCAAAAAATTATATTATTTTCCAGACCCAAGTGATACGCATGATCTGTATGCAGCACTAACATTTTCCCGAATGGTTTCATTTTCTTGTACATTCAAGAATGTGTTTAAATTCTCCTATTTAAATCAGTTTTCTTGTTATTTCAATATCCATGCTTAGGATGGAAACTTTCGACGTAAATGATTTTAAAAGTGAATTTATGACAGATTAACTCCAACTTGGAGAGAATGCGGTTGCCCTTGAAGAACAAATAAGGAACGAGGTCAAACTTCAACAGGATCGGTTGGAAGGTGAAGAGATAAGAGGAAAAAAATACAGAGCTTGCTAGCCTCGCCTTGGCTTCTTCAGTCCTTTCAGTCTTGACAAAGAAATATAATTGACGTAATAACAAATTTTCTTCATTCGACCGTCCGCAAGGAAATGCGATCGACCGATAACATACAAATTCCAAAAGAGGTCACAGGGACTTAGAAGTCCCGCTAGGCCTCGAGGTCGTGCATTCCTATATAGTCCTTCTTTAAAGTATTTTTTTAAATGTGGGAACTTCTGAGTCCCGCCAGGACTGAAATGGTTAAGTTCCAGCAATTTCTAAAAAGAAATTGCTGGAATTCTGGAACTCTGGAGAAAAACTCTCTCTTTTCCCGACCCAAATTCGAGGTGCTCCAACCAGAAGACAGAAAAATCTCTCCCTCTGGCAGCCATGGATAGAATGTCATCTTTGAGCCAGTAGGCTATTCTTCCTTCGTATGGAGAAGGGGTTTCCTCGACACTCTTCAAGCGTGTGACTTATCCATTTACACGACCGGTTCGTTTTGGCACGTCAACTCTCGTACTTGCCGTTCTATGCCCCATACTTCCCCGGACTGCTTCTGCAGCTTCAAGTACGGCTTCGTACGAGTACTGGAACTGGCGACCACTTTTTGTGGCTTTTTTGCCAGAAGGTGGCATCGTATTCGATTCCTTGGCCCCTTTGAGGTTGCTTTTCGTCCAGACGTGAAGTATCCCGTGTCTAAGCATCAGAAATTAGAAGAAATTCTCGAAAGCAACACATTATTACTGGTTCACAGAGTTGCATCGAAACACTTTCTCGCTACCATGCAAAGAGTGAAAGCGTTTCACGGTCGATTTTGGCAGGCATCCTCTAGTCTATGAAGAATGACTCGACCGCCAACGTTCGGGTATCGTAGTAATACGAGCTTAGGTGCGGTTAGAGTCGAACGGCCGCGAAGTTCCGCATCTCGGAAGGAATGCGACTCCGAATGCTATAAGATGTATCTACAGCTATTATAATTGCTAAAGAAGGCAATCGGGCAACATGCGTGATGTACACCATGAGAAAAGAATAAATTCAAGGAACCTACTCCACAACCTGATCCTAATTACGAGGTACGCAATTTTCGGCACTGGAATGATCTCCATCGTCTCGGTCACGGAACTGCATGGTCGCCCAGAACCTTTCATGGTTTCATCTGTCATGCATAGAAGTAAAATAAAGAGCATGAGATGTACCGCACAGGGTGCGTAGAAAGACGAAATCACGAGAATTTTTCCGTGCGTTCGACTCAACTCCTCACTCTGGTGATGGCGTCCGGGTTTCGCCGCTTTACCCTACGTTCAGTCGACACGAAACGCTGACGTGCGGCATCTCTTTCGGGCGCTTAGAAGACGCTTCCAGTGAGTTTATACATGGGCATCTTACTGCGATGTTCGTCCACACTCACCCCACACACAGCCTACATAAGCATAACGCGCGGTGCCGCATGGGTTAGTCGCAAGCAAAATCGCTCAAATTAGATAATTTTTTCACACCAAATCGAGTCATTGATTTCATTCGCCGACACAAGACGAGAGTTTGCCGACAACGATCTCCACCGTTATTCTTCCTTGTTCCTTCTCCTTTATGGAGAGTTTCGATCCCAATAGACGGATCGTGAAATAGCGTACGTAAGCTGCAAAACAACAATAGTAAGATCGAGAAGAACGCAAAGATTGAATGAGAAACAGGATGTGATGAAAGGGCAGGTGAACTCCTCGTCCGCGGAGTCCACTGGAGTTCTTGTCATTTTGGAGGGTGAGCAATTCTACTTGAAGGTGGTCTTTCCCAAAAACTCCTGGACATTGACCGCGTGTAAAATATAGAGGAATTGTTACCCGGCGGAACTGATACCACAGAGATCGGGAGATCGAGAATTGCAAAATGAGGTAGATATCACCTGCATTGCAACATTTCCGGAATTTTCTCATCTTGCCACGATTAGCAAAATTCACAAAGTATCTGTAGTCCTCACGGACACCGGGTGTTTATATGATATATTCGCTTCGCGGGAAACATTGGAGTGAGTTGCATACCAGATCCGTGATGCACGAGATGGTATGATGATGCCCCTCCGCAAACCCGAGGATCGTCACACCGGAACTTAGTGGCAACGATGTGCTCGGTACGATCCTCGATGTTCTCTACGAGAGGCAGTCGACACTTGCGATGCAAGCACAGTAATACCTCGCTATTCGCTCGGGATGCGTTCCTGAAAAAGTCCGAAGCGAGCGAGCGGATTGGGAGATTGAGTCATAATGTATAACTAGCGTAAAAGCGAAACAAGTGTGTCGAGAAACAGCGTGCGGCGAGGTATTACTGTATCAGAAGAGAGGAAAACGATCGGCTTTCAAGAAGATTCCCACGGCCGAACGAAACACGATTTCGTCACAGCCCCCTTCAGCAGATAAAAAGGAAATTCCGACCACTCGATTCTCGACTCTCTCAACTGCGACCTTGGTCTCCCTCGTGTCGAGATGCGCACAACTCAGGAGGGTCCATTCATAGACGTTCTACGTCCGTCCGAGACGCAAATGGTTTCACGATCACGGGAATCCGCTCGTCCATATCACGTGCGAATGACACGATCCGTTAGTTTGGCCTGATGGGATCGTATCTTTTCATTTTTTTCAAGGTCTTCGTAACGCGTTTGATTGTTCGGGGCAATCAGTCCGCTACACTTTCTGCTCGATACTGATTTTTAAAAACATTGTCTTTTTTATTTATTCTGTTGCAAATTGCAGTTGCATCTCCTCACTGCTTTATCCTTGTCATCCTCCGGGTCGTGATATGAGAACTCCCGTAAATGCGTCATCATTGATGAAAGCGAAACGATGAAACAGGACTCTGTCCATGTCGTCATGCGGCCTTGCTCTGTGAAAGACACGACTGCAATGTGGGATTTCCAGTTCTTTCGAAGCCTCACCAAACGTTTGGGCTCGAACCCCGACCGGCTGAGGAAACACGTTTTCTAAGTGCTAACCGTCGAGTAAACCCAATAGCTTTTGTTGTGTGCCGTGCAATCGATTTCAACTTAAAAAGCATCGTGAATTTTTGAAAAAGCCTAGGTAGCACGTGGGTGGTGGCCCACCACCTTTACTAGGTTGTGGGCCAGGAGCTACACGTCCCACTAGCCAGCACTGGTCCGCCACCTTCCGGGCCGCTGGAGGGCCAACACATTACCAGTTAGCTCGTTTGTGGTGTACCACCGGCTGGGAAGGGACCTAATGCCCCCATGCAGATCTGATTCACCTTAATAACTTGGAGCTCTAGCCCACGAGAAGAATTTACAAGAGTGCCTCGATGACCCACTGCTCTCTTTTTCCGCATCCGATACGGAACCCTGAGATAGTGGAAAGGCCTCATCGTGTATCGTGTCGCACCATATACGAAACTAGCTGAGGTATCCGGCGTTGCACGGGTACTTATACTATATTTCAGTGTTTGTCTGTCCTTTATGCACGGCCATGCCTCCGATCTCCGTCCGACCAAACTAAGCATGGCTTCCTCATTTGGTCCGGGGATGGCATAGAGAGTGAATGGAGGGGCCTCCCGTATGGCGCGAGGCGCTGCACCCTTCCAGGCGCGACCGCCATCTTACTGAAGTCGCACGAGCAAGGAGTTCATAGCAGACACATGGAGAGGGGTAGGGCAAAAGAGACAACTTTCCCCGAGCTATATGCCTGGGGACCTCCACGTCGGGACCCAACCGATCACACTATTCATTCCCACGTGCGAGACTTCACCAAGATGGCGGAAGCACTTGTACGTCTCGGGGCAGCGAAGGCCTCTCCAGAGACATCTATATACACTCTATGGGGGATGGTCAAAAGCTAGGTGGCGTTTCAAAATTTCGAACCCCCCGGGACAGGGCCAGTCCTAGATGAATGGCGCCCGAGGCGAGGAGCGTCTTCTCTCCAACGTCGTCGTATCTTCCGTAGGAGGTCTAAAAATCGAACACGACACTTTCACGAGGGGCTCTCCTCGACTAAGATAAACGAGCGATCTCTTCTACGCACCGAGGTAATGCCCAATAGGTACTTGCCCGTATACTATATATATTTAAAATGTACTGAGGCAGTAGCAATGGATAGTGAAGTACTTTACGTGAAAGTGCCTTTACTTGCGATTCATTGCAAACGAGCCATGTTCACCTTTCCAGTATATAACGTCCGTTTCGGTGTGATGCATTTCATGGCACCCATTCCATACAGTCGTCACTGAATAGATGAGGGCAGAGGGGTGAGACTCCACATTTCCTTCATATCCAATGGAACGAGTGGCTGAGGACACTCAGGTCTCTGAGGTAGGCGAAGATTCTGCCTTGAAAATTTTTCACGTTTTTGTTATCGGGCTCTCACAAGTGTTCCAAGAAAGAATCATCTGTTTTTAGTGATCCATTCCATGATTTCGTGATGTCGCGTTTCACTCATTGCATCCGAGGAATGAACTTAACCTTGTGTCTACCCATCCTTCCTGGATTCTTCCAATACGTAACGTGTTAGTTACTCGGTAACTAACACTAGTGTCGGTGTTGCTTGCATCAGAGAGGAATCCATTTCACATACATTAAATTATTTAATGGCATGCAAGATTGAATGCCGGATGAGCCCTAGCTTATATGTCGACCGCACGTGCTGGGAGAATATAACACCCGATCGGTAGTGACACCTAAATCCCCCCCCCCCCCTTTCCTTGGTAAAAGAATCCCGTCATGAAACGTAACGAAAGACCCGAAATTATCCTGGCTCGTACGTAAAATTTAACAAATATTCTTAATGAACTTCATCGCACGAAGCTTCGCGTAAAATTCTGATGCTGAATATACCTGTCACAAGACGTCCTGCACGCGTGGGAAACATCCATAATATGAAACATACAGCATTATCGACCTGCCCATATGCCATCTCGCACCTGGTGAATGAAAATGAAAGAGGGGCGGGCAAAGCCCAGCCCAATAGCGAGCCTCCTTTGAGTACAGCCCGATAGATGACAGTCGAAGTGATGTGGAATCTGAAGGACGCCGAAGGAGAGATAGTCCATGCACGAGAACGCCTCGACGCAGACGGCACGTGGCCAGTGGTGGTTGCTCGTCCTCCAGGCTATCACGAGTCTCGTGGTAGCCTCCGTCCGTCCGCTGTTTTTCGCGGTTCGCAGATTCCACATTTTAAAATCCAAATCTGTTAGCGGACCCAAGGTTTCCAAAACCGAGTAGATGTCGAGCTTACCGCATTTATTAGTTGTGGCAAGAATGTGAAGTTATTTGAAGCAGTAGCGCCTCTGCCACCGTTGAGGAAGCTTAACTATAGCAGTACTTTAAGAATTAGTGTTTTTTTTTTTTAGGAAAGAATCAGACTGGCTAATAGGGCAATGCGAGCTTAGAAAGAAAGCCACGGTCTGGAAATCAGATCGATTGCTCGATTTCACCGACAAACGAGGAGGGGGAGATGGTAGATCGAGCAGGGATAGAGGGGATGTCCATGTCCCTTGCTCCCCGCCCGATATTGAACAAACTCGCATTGCGAACGTACAATGCCGTGCCTCCATTTTGCCATGTGATGCGTCAGTGGTGGGACGCCTACGAACTCCTTGCGAAGCCAAGGCACGTGTTTATCAACAGAGGATTTACCCATATGGTGGAGCTTCGTCATGTGAATCCTCCATTTTCTCAGCCGGTCTGCAGCGCTATGTAGTCAACATATATGTAGTATTTAAAAGTTGTGGAAAATTCTATACTATTACGAATTCGATCGCAATTTTTCATTCATAATGTAGGAACTAATGCTGAAGCTTTCCGGGAATCTGGAATGGAGGCGCAGTCCGCAAAGAAATATGAAAATCCGTCCAGAGCAGAAATTCAAGCCCCTTTGTCATTTGTTTATTGACATTTAGTCATTTCTTTATTTGTCATTCTTTTCCTGAGAAACTGTTATTTTCTTCCTCGGGGAACTACTTTTCTTACGGGGCGAATATTACTCCAAGCAATGATCGATGCGTGATCGTGATGGTGAGGCACGCCAAGGCGGCCTTAGCCGGCGTCACGCAATTTTAAACGTCTCCGAGTAGCGACCATCTTACAGGATTTCAGCGATCCGTTCGCAAGAAAGAGCAGCGCGAATCACAATAGGAATGTCTCTGTCTTGGAACCGGGCTCGATTCGACTCCTGCCTGTCAGTGGGGACATAGTTCTATGTTCGTCGTCTCGAGAGAGCCGGAACGAGACGCGGGCCTCGCTGCAGTCGAGGCGCCAGAGCGCATGCGTTACGTCACCACGTTTCCTTATTTTGCTGCAATTCGATGTGATGCGCTTCTTGTTTTGCTTTCGATATCTACTCATTCCTTTAAATGCGGTGTACGCTTGCAAAATTCAGTGCAGGACCGTGAATTCCTCGGAAAAGAGAACCACGAAAGCACCATGATCGCCGAGGAAAAGAAAGCAACGGAATCGACGGAGTCAGTGTGCGAACTCCCTCTGCTCCCCGGATTCAGACAATCTCACGAGGTCAGTTTCCATCACGTCCATGCGCGAACCGGGGCGACGAGGACGCTTTCCTTTCTCAGCCGTGCCTGTTTACGAACCTCGAGGAAACCGTTTAAGGCCGCTCGGCGAGAAACAGAAAAGATTTTGGTATTTAGGATGGAGCAATTTGAGATTTTATTTTGAACCCTTTATCGTTTTGGACCCTTTGAAGTTGAGAACGGGTTGAGTTTTTCGTTGAACTCTAACGGCTAGTCTTTGTGGTGCTTCCATTGCCTCGCCTGGGAAAAGAAGAGTTAGCAATATGATGGGGGAGAGAGAGGGGAGGGGGGGGGGGACTGATTGATTCATGATGGGAAGAGAAAGAGGGACTTGATGGGAATTCCGATTACGCCTATCGAGGCTCGTAGAACTTTGATGGAGTGGAAGGTAACTGTGGAGGATGTAAAAAAGAGAGAGGGCACAAGATCCGCACCGAAAACAAGTGCGTCTTTGGTCAGGTCGTCCGGATGCCCTTGGGCTTTATGCTCCTAACCATAAAAGATGATGCTATTTCTGGTACGAGCGCTACGCAGAACGATCCGATGTAAACTTCCCAGAGGGCTATAGCAGTTCTGCGACGATTGTTTGTCAGCAAAAGAAATTTAAAATTCATGCGATGCACACCTCTTTCAGGACTCGAACGACTCGAATTAGTTAATCGGAATGACATCCGTGAAGACCCGATGCGCCGAGGGCACGGTCGTGTCTCTCTGCCTCGAGGACATCATGGGAACGAGAACATCGGCATTTCGGTGATTGTACAAACCTTTAAAACGAAATTGGGATGCTCGAAATTCAAGCAAAATCTCCACAGTACGAAAAATGAGAACCGTTCATAGAACGTGGCAAAAATAAGGGCAGAGGCACTTCCATCGCGCCTCTACCAGGAGGTTATCTTTCATAGAGCATCGTGGGGAGATGAAAGTTTCTGCTGGCTTAGTACACGAAACTGCACTAACGTGCGAGTCTCCGTTGAGTCATTCTTCCTTCCCTTTTTTTCCCTACTTCGTCGTGTCCTTTTCTCCCATTTAAAGAAACTCAGCCTCATTTATTGGTCCTCGTCAGGCATCGAAATTCGAATGACTTTTGTAAAGAACTCATTTCTTCTCTCATCGTCCCGATGTAGGATTCGAAATGGCGATCCGACGCGATTTCTCTCTCGTCCGGCCGGCATCGGCAACTGTCTGCCGAGAAAAGGTCTTTCCTTTGTTTACTTTGTTATCGGCGTCCTGCCGATCGGATTTCCCGATTCTCTTCCACGGGAAACCGATCTGTCCGCTGTAATTAACCCAACGACGACCACGACTTGCTGGAGATGTGCGTTTGCGAGCTCCATGCACGTACGTGCATCAGCGTGAGTCATTCCTTCGACTCGGGGGAGGCAGATGCGGATCCCTCCGTCCTCCTCCCAGGCGAGGCCATTCCGATTCCGTCCTTTTCTGTTTTCAGGAGCGAATTCCCAAGTCTGGATCTCACCGGTCATCGACGACAGTGAAAGAACGATGCAAAGAAAGCAATCGTTTTATTCGCAACGGTCACGAGGGTCGTCTATTGCTGACCCTTTCGTCTCGCGTTTCGATGCCTTTTCAACGGGACGATGAATGGAACCTCTGAGTCCTTTCGGCTCCTTTCTCCATGTATTTCATTTTAAGAGATCGAGTTTTAAGCGACTCCTACCATAATTCATAGAAGTTCAGAGAAGAAAGGAGAACAACGTTTTCGAGGGCAGAAATTGTCATGCGTCCTGAAAAGTTCAAAGTATGCATATAAATACATGTAAAGAGCTTGTGCTTCAAATGATGCGATTCTTGTTCTTAAGCGCCAGCAATTCTCGAAGCCATCGACCCTCAAGTTCAAAAACGGATATGCAATTCCTGTCACCTCCATGGAACGAATGAATTTCAGTGCAGATCTCCACCCTCTTCCCTGCAAGTAAGTTTTTCTCTTCTTGCAAGCTTATATTTTCTTGGCCTTCATTTTTTCAATTATTTTTCTCCTTTCCTCGCAATACATCCAACAAGGATTCACTATAATTTCCTATCTGTGCCTGATAGGAATGAGAGCATATCCAGACGGAGGGCGCCGAAGTTACCATTGGTTTCAGATGATTTCACAAAAGACTTCCTGGCAGGTTCTATAGGTTATACCAGGAATTTTCGATAGAAACCCGTTTGAATCCACATTTGGATTATTTTTTAGTAGGGGCCTTTCGCAGATCCGTGACATTTCTTGTTTGCGTAAGTGTCGGTGGCCCGCGTGAGTGTAGTACCACACTGAACGAATCTTCTCATCGACCCCACCCATTGGTGTTATTCGTATTTAAAGATTTCGCCCCTCAGAGTCACAGTTCCATTTCTGGACTCTCCCATCGCAGCCGCTTTCCATCCCTCAGGCACGTGGGCGAGAGACTGTACGAAGAGAAGGAAGACGACTGGGAGAGCGTTCGAAAGCCATTCGAACCCCGATGGGCCATGCACGACCGAGCGACCCTCTGTTTCCATGCCTATTACCTCCATCGTCTTTCGTATCCCTATCCCCTCGATCCGTCTCGGAGAAATACCCTCATCAGGATGGTGAAGATCTACTATCATCTTCAAGATGACACCATCTCCGTCTTCGAACCTCCCGAACACGTGAGTGGGAGTAATTACACCTTACGTCCAATAGAGATTATTACATGGTAGTGGTAGTCAGGTGGTACGCATAGCAGACAGAAGAGGAACTTTACACCAGACCCATCCATGAACTGCCAACTCTCATCCTCCTGTAAGCGTGTAGGGAAAAAAAAAAGAGGCTGAATTTTCGGATGGGAAGTAGCTGAAAATATTTCCCCTTATTTTCAGTCGCACATCACCAGAGCTCAACAGGAGCAAGGATGCTTGATCCTCTCTCATGAAACCCAGGTTCTAAACGAAGAAAAATACCCAATACAATCGCTTTTTTTTATTTTTCTAGTATAAGAAAAGGAACTGAGTTTTTGGCAATAGACTGTTCTTACAACGCGGTTGACAAGCCGTTAAAAAAAAATAATATATCTGATTGGAAAGAAAGTTCTCGGAATTTCATGAACAATTATTACAAAAATGCATCGCAGGAGTAGATACGGAATTTCCTGCCGAAAAATATGACGTCCTTTCGAAGGTTGAAATCCTTCCACGTGTAGAAGTCTTTTTTATTATTCTTCTGGAAAAAAATTGTACTGGATATTCAAGAAATTCCGAGAACTTTCTTTCCAATCAGATAAAATTCGTTCAGTGGTTTCCTACGAGCAGTGTAACAACGAAATTCATCGCATTCATTTGTTTCAGGGAGATACCACGTCGATCCACCATATATGGTAGATACAGTTTTCCGAACTTTCAGAACATTAGCAGCTATCTCTGAATGCCATTTGACATTTCAATGTACGTGCAGTATTTATGGCTGTCCCTAACTGAGTGAGTAGCTCGATAAGTGTCATCAAAGATGGATGTTGAGTCCCAAAAGTGGCGCATTTATTTAATCACCTCAAACATTCCTTTATTAATATTTCCTATGCACTTTCCGTGTGACTTAGAATTCGGGATTGATTCAAGGGAAGCTGATAAAGAGGCAGCGGATCCAGAAGAATAATAAAAAAGACTTCTACACCTGGAAGGATTTCAACCTTCGAAAGGACGTCATATTTTTCGGCAGGAAATTCCGTATCTACTCCTGCGATGCATTTACAGAGGTTAGAACCTTTCTTTGTCCTTTTTCGAGATGATTCAAAACTGAGTGTTGTAGTTCCCTCAACCTTTTAAAAAGCGGTTTGCTCTTTCTTTTCCCATTTATCGCTCGGGGTTCCGGGAACCTCCGTTCGTTTTTCGTTCAGACGGTTCGTTAGGACTTGCCTCGAGAGTTAAAAATGTATCGATTCCGATACAACCTTTTTCGATATCACTTAATGACATGCACGATATCGAGGCGAGACGATCGGTTTTATTTTCTCGAAGTAAAACGGATGAAGGGAAAACCAGAAATGGAGAAAACGGAAATAACTCTCTTCCGGTTCGGTTTCTTCTCCGTCCTTCGAATCTCTTGCTCATCCAGTTCGATTCGTTCCTCGCACTGCAGGAGTGGTTGAATTCTGAAGGCGTTGAGGTGAACGAGGCGGAAGAAGTGCCAGAAGAGAGCGAACTGAAGGAAAGTGAAGACGCGGGAGAGCCCCGCTGATTCCCATCTTCTCGTCGATCCCACTACTGCACCGAATTCGAACGGCACGATAATAAATCACAAAGATTGTAGTTGTCCATTTTTCTTCCACGTCGTCTCGTACCGATGACAGCAGGTACCGTTACTAGTGTTTTTCGTTCAATAAGAACAGTAGATGATTTTATTGTTTTCAAAGAGAAGTGTAACTCTGAGCTCGTTAACTTGTTTACACTAGTTTGCTCGATGTTCATAGCCGAAACGAAGTTTCTCTTGTAACTGATAGGCATTCACAAAACGCCTAGCCACGATTCTTGCGACGACGTTACCTGTACGTAACTAATGCTGGCCATTGCTATGCCGAATGGAACTTCGTTCGCATGCCCGCTCGTGGAAGGCACACGCAGGCTGCACTTGCTAATTAGAGTTCCAACGACCAAAGAAAAAGAAAAGAACTTCATCTCGTGATTCCGGGAAGGTTCAGCTTTCCAGACGGAGCACGTACTCCAACGACACCGGATCTTTCGATGAAATCAAGGCAGAGCTTATTGAAACTTGCACATGTGAAAGTCTCAGACAGACGTTTAGCCTAAGACTATTGCCCCTGCCCCATTATGATCTATGATGATGACCGTCTCGATCGTGTCTTCTCATGGAGTTGCCAGAGTCAGCCATGTCAACTGTCCGTCCCTTACCGAACTCTGAAAGATATGCTCCTATCGGTACCTTTCCTGTTGCCGTGTGTGCGTGCGTGTTTTTGAGCCGATCAAGGTGCATCTGGTGAGGCCTAAAAGAATAGGAACTCTCGTGGCCGTCTCACGAATGAAGTTGGAAATTTTGCAAGAGTGGAATTGATCCGGCGTGGAAGCCGAACGCGAAATAGGAAGACGATCATCGTTGTGCCCTCGGTGCTATCAGTGAATCGAGCGTCGTGGCTACTCGTCCCGATGCTACTCGTTCGTCCGTGCCAGGCCCTGGACCTCGCTCCGTCTCGCTCCCTAACCCTTCGGTTTCTCCGTTCCTTACAACCTCAGGTCCCTCCAGTCTTCTTTTCCCGAACTCAACAAGGGGAATACATTGAATTCGAAGCATGAAACCAAAATTATGAATGACTTGGCAATTAAAAATTAGGAACGTAAAGAGAGAGGATCACTCTCACAGGAGCAAAAACGGGCACGAACAGCGTAAATATATATATGAGATATTTAAAAATATATATACCAGGGATTTCTCAAAAGTTCTGCCAGTAGCCCGAAAGTAGCACTTAGCGGCCGCCTCCGATGACGACTTGTGGGCTACTGGCAGAACTTTTGAGAAATCCCTCGTATATGCATCGCTTTTCCCTTCGGACAATTTCTGGCTGTAGGAGAGACATTTCCTAGCGCTTGATTGTACCTGGTAACGGATGCACGCGATCTATCGGCTTTGCTTCGAGTATTCCCATTCCATTTGACGTTCTGAAGAAAAGAAACAGCGGATAACACCGTCGATGTAACTCTTCAGATTCGACCGAGGCCCACGGAAGACCTGCGTAAGAGCGTCGGTCCTCATAAACCGCGGCCGCGTATCTTCCGAGGCAGGAAGAAAGGAGACTGGAGGCATGGGACAGCAGAGGAATGCACATCCAGATCCAGGGAAGAACACGGGAACGAAGCCCTCACATTGGTCGTGAAGGAACCCAACTATAACATCTTCCAGGGTGATGAGACCCCGGTCGTTCGACTCCCACAGGAACTCCACGTCCAAGTGGATCGAGGAGGGAACGAAGAAGGGACCGGTAAGCAGACGGAAGAGCGTGACGAAGGCTGGAGCAAGGGCAGCGGTAAGAACAGACCCGATGGCAAAAACAGGGATAAGGACAGAGACGAGAGCAAGGGCAAGGGTAAGGAAGAGGAGGGAGAGACCGAGAGCATATGGGAGAGATGTGCGGCACATCCGAAGCTCACGGGGCTTCTCGTCGTATCCGTCCTGCTATTGGGTCTCATCACGTGCGTGTTTGCCCTGCTGGTCCGGAAGAGGAGGGAATCCAGGGAACGGGGGATCGGAGACGAGGCGCGAGCGGTCGAACGAAGAGATCGCCGTCGAGATGTTGCAAAACGAAAGATGACGTCGGGTGGCATCAGCCGAGAATCGGCAGGTAGAGCTGGAAGCAGAAGGGACCGAAGTCGACGTCATCGTCGTCATCGTCGGCATGGATCGAAATATTCCCGCGAGGAGGAAAGAAGGCGGGTTCGCAGGTATCGAGGAGCGTTGCACGGTTCTCGGAGTCCCTTAAGTTAACGTCTTAGAAGGAGTCGCAGAGCGGCCAACTGATCCACCAAGTCCAGCCGGATTCTCATCGTCTCCGCGCTTTCATTCTGTTCCTCCGTTGCCAGAGAGAGAAATATTCCCGTCATTACGACCTGGACCGTGGAGTGTTGGCGACTTTCGCAGGTGGCTCACAGTTTCGAGAGGACCGAATCCGCACGACTAAGGAAAATCTCATATTACGCGATGAATATTCTTTTGTCACAAATGTAATCGAAAGGAAAGGAGGTGGTCGTCGTTGTATCTCAAACCATCGACAAATAATTAAATTGGTTCCGAGGACCTTAATGGATTGCATTCTTAAAGACTTGAATATTCTAGCGGTTTCCCTCCTGGGAGATGAGCAAAAAAAAAAAACATGAGGGCAAGGACCATTCCAACTGCATTAGACTGACGGAGTGATCGAGAGAAACAACTGGATTCAATAAAGACCTTATTCACGCTCAATTTCCCAGAGTCATCGTCAAAGTCGCATTCACATCTAGTAAACATCTGCTACATCTTCATCACATCTACAGGCCGAAATTGTAACTATTGCGCAGCTCAAAGAGATGCTTGCATCATTTGGTAAAAATGTTCACACACGTATTTGGAAAAACGTCGAGATGAATCCTGTAGTTAACGTCTATGTCTTCACGTCGTGTGGATTCATTCTCTTCAATTTAACAGCTCTCATTGTTCCCTATTGGAATATAAAGATCCCCGCATCCCATTCCTCTCCATAAAATACGCCTCTGAAGGTGGAAATTTGCAGGGTATAGTTTTCCGCATGCGATAGGTGTACATGGACTCCTGTCTGAGTTTGATTCCCCCATCCTTGTACCTCATAACGAATTAGAAGTTAAGGTGGCCAAGTAATATAACCAATAGAAAACATAAATTTATGTTAGCTATTTTTGGTCCATCCTCTGGAAGTCGATAACATTTAACAATTTAAGAAGTTAGCCGCATGACTAACCTGACAGAATGGCAACACTGATATCGTTATGGCGACCGCCCTGTGTTAAGTCCCTGTCAAAAGGCGTGCGTGCTAATTCCTGATGGGTTCTTTCTGTCCCATCTAAAGTCTATCGGTTTTGGTTCGGTCAATTGCAATTTCGCGATAGACTTAGACTGCGTTCTTTCAAGTAGTTAAAAGTAATTAGTTAACGCTTCCCTACATGGGTCCATGTGAATGGGTTGGGGTTTCGGCATGGAGTGTGTAGTTTCGTCTCGCATTTCGGAGTCGGCAAACTTCAAATGTAGGCCTAACGTTAGCCTACATTGATCATCTTTCCCCCACGGAACCCCGATCCTACGTAAGTTGGGCGTTGGCTTCATCGGATGACTGGGAGGAGAGCCCCACTCATTCGAGCAGCAGAAGCCCAACTTTTGTATCAATAAGAAGGTTTAACTCAGAGCTAGTTTGTGATCGCGTAAGCTGCAAGAGATTCAATCCAAGGCCACTAGGAACGTATTAAGGATGAAAAATTGTAGGAAGAGAGAAAGAAGGCAAATCAAGTCTTTATGTTGTATCTGCAGAGGCAAATTGGGAATTTGGAAGGGAGATGAACTAATACGAGGGGAGACATGCTTAAGGAGGAGAAAGAAAGAAAGAGCACCATAATCATTGTAAATTTAAAAAGTTGCCAGCTAACCAGTACTATATGAAACAGGTGTAGTAAGTTGGACTTAAAAGTTCAAGGCTCTTGGCATAGACTCTTAATAGTCTTGTAAGTTGGAATGGAATGACCCAAGTGTTGATTTTGGCAGCTGGATACATTTCTTGGACATAGTCCTTTGATGGGCTATGTTCAAGAACCTTCAGGCAATGGTGCTGAAGCCATCTTGGCAAATAGAAATGACTCTTTAATGATGTATAAGCTGAGGCTGTCATAGGTCAATTGCTTAAATTTCAGAACAAGGCAGTGTTTACAGTGATTTGGCTTTCTGCACAGGATGGATGGAGAAAGAAATGAAGATAGCTTCATTGAAAGCATATGTGATTCAGTGGTGAGTTTCATTAATCATGAACTTGGCTAAATGTGGTCCTGGCAAAGACTGCTAGTTTTAGTTCCTCTGCTCCTTCCTATGTTTGACCCCCACTGTCTATCCAATATCCAGAACCATAACACATACACTAGTATGTGGGGGGATTAGGCATCAGAGGTGGGGAATTGGTAGGTGGGTAGGACAAGGGCATGGATGTATAACCAAAAATCAGGAGACTTTTCTGTTTGAAGCATTTGCAGATTGGAAGCCCTTCTGATATCACATGGCACTTTTCTTATTCATAATTTAGCTACAGTACTCATGCACTGCAGCCTTGAATCTGTACTCCAATCTTTACCTCTTTGTTGCATTTGATATCTTTCTTAAGTGAAGTTGAAAATTTCATTTCATACAATGTAGGAGTAGGGGGTCAGGAGGGCAAGACAAGAGTGTGCAAGAAATTGGAAGAGCGATAAATGAGGGGAAAGATGAGAGGGTGGAAGGACCAGGAGGAAACTAATGTTCGTGTGTGACTGACTTTCATACAGCACTCTCTCATAGACCTAGGGTCATAGGATGTTGTGTGGGCATGGTGCAAATCTGATGTAGAACTGGATGTGCATGATGGTGTGGAGGTGTGCTATGCAAGATTTCCAGTACCCCTAGGCTTACCCTCGTATTGTCATGATGGGCTCTCAATCTTGGTAGCAGTGCTGGTTGGCCTGCCAATAATGATATCAACAAATATATAGAAAGACAGTGACTAATCACCTGTAGGTTGAACCAGAAGCATGAATTTGTAGAAGGAAGAACATGATCCCTTTACCAGACCTGACATTTTAGAAGGTTACAGGAGTACCTATTTCACCAAGATACCCCCTCATTATAATAGGCCTGCCCCCTGGGTTTTATGTTACTGATTTCACTTATATTTTTTTCAGTCTTCCATTGTGGAGGGGTGTCGTTTACCAGTGAAGATGAAAAACTGGGATGAATGGAGTGAGTTATATGCCATATTATGAATTTCTGTTAAATTTTCAGACATTCATGTGATCTAGACAAGGGGACAGACTAATATATACAGTATGAAAATCTTGAATTAAGCCTATGATAGCAGAGCAAAATGTTCAAGGGCTATCTAAGAATAACTAGATGCTTTAAAGGAGAAAAAGTCCATAGTTGTATAGGTTATTATTATGAATTGAGGAGTTCTCTGAAGAAAAAATAGGGATGTATGTAAAAGGAACAATGAGAAAAGCAGCAAAATCTCAGTGTACACTTGTGTCCAATCTAAATCCAATTTTCAGTAATAATTTTCAGCCTAGGCTGCTCCTTATTTAAACTTTGGACTTAAATTAAGTTATTTCCTTCCAAATTGCCAGAATGTAAGCAGAAACTGTTAATGTATATATGCTCTTGTTCCATGTCCACACCATTGGAACTTTCCTAGTCATTCTTTCAGTTGTCCTTCATTTAAAATAATTTCCACTGCGATTAATGTCTAGGTTTATAATAATAATAAAAAAATAATAAATCATTCCTCAATGAAACACAAAGAAAAAAGGAACATTTAGAAAAGCTTTCATGACTGTTTCAGTTCTTCCCCACATATGAGGTTTGATCCAAAAGTTTTTAAGACATGACTTACCATTTTTGTGGGCTGGGGCCACTTTCTTCTGTCAGTGGTCCTGCAACTTCTAGAAGCACCTCATAAAGTCCTCTATTGGAAAGGCTAGAAGTTGACTCATTGCATTTGTTTATATGGTCAGGATGTCTTCAGGTAGTAACCAAATCTTTTAAATGAAAGTAAGCAGCATATATTTGGATATTACTTTACTGTCCCTTGGTAGGAAGGTAAAGTTTCGATGTCAGACCTACTTTGTAATATATGTATAATTATGTATACAACAAAGATCAGTGCCACAGGCACCCTTCTTATAAATGTCTCCATGGAGCACTATCTGTATTGGTATTGAGGGGTAGGAAACTTTCTTTCATTTTATTCCATTCCCTTCACAGCCTCAAGTCTTCCTGTTTGCTTTTTTTTTTTTTTTTTAGCTCTTGCTGAGGTCCTTGGGATTAAGGAGAAGGATGGGAAGAGACAGTTCTATGTCCACTTCATCGATTGTGAGTTTTTTTTAAATTGTTTCTTAGTCAATGAGTTCAGTCCTAAAATTTCATTAAGCATGAGAGTAATGAACTTCGTTTTGCTTCTCTTGGTGATGTGGGACTTAATTTCTCGTGTTTCTGGACAGACAATAAGAGATTGGATGAATGGGTGAATGAAGATCGGCTAGATAGACGGAAGGTGCAGTGGCCCAAGAAAGATGGTGCGGGAGGCACCACTGGGACAGTAACAGTAGTTGGATCTCGCCCTGCAAGTCCAGCTCCTTCCTGTACATCTTTGGAAAGCGTGACCAGCTCCTCTTTGGCTGCTGCCATTCAGAAGAAACAGGCTGGAAGAAAGAGAAAAGCTGTGGCTCTTGACCTTGAGGTCAACATGAAAGAGGTGAACAAGGATCCCATCTCCTTTCTCAGGGGCATGTTCTTGATTGATCCCATTCATTTTTTTCCAGGACTCAATGGATGGGAGTAACCAGGCAGGTGGACCTCGACAGACAGGCAGCTTGATGGTTCACCACGACAATGTTATCACACGCATGAAGAATGTGGAGATGATTGAGCTTGGAAAGCATCGTATCAAACCTTGGTACTTTTCACCTTACCCCCAGGTACTAGTATTGGATTTCTTTCTTCATTTGGGTAAGTTGGAAGTTTTATGCTTTCAATTTTATAATAAACTGGTTTTGTTTTTTATTTTTATCCTAGGAGTTGATTTCCTTGCCTTGCATTTATTTGTGTGAATTCTGTCTCAAGTTTCACAAGTCTGTCAAGTGCCTAGAGAGACATCTTGTAAGCCTTCAGATTCTATGGTGCAATGGAGGCTTTTTGTTGTACTACATGATAACTTTTAAATTCTCTCCCAAGGATAAATGCCCCCTGAAACACCCTCCTGGAAATGAGATCTACCGCAAAGGAACTATCTCATTCTTTGAGATTGATGGCCGCAAGAACAAGGTCTATGCCCAGAATCTATGTCTCTTGGCAAAGTTATTCTTGGATCACAAGACTCTCTATTATGACACGGACCCATTCCTCTTTTACGTGATGACGGAATTTGACAACAGAGGCTTTCACATTGTGGGCTACTTTTCAAAGGAAAAGGAGAGCAGTGAAGACTACAACCTTGCCTGCATCCTCACTCTACCTCCATATCAGAGGAAAGGCTATGGGAAGCTTCTCATCCAATTCAGTGAGTTTAGACCTAGGAATCCTGTTTTCAAATAAGAGCTATACTTGTGCATCACCTCATTCCACTGCCTTTCTCTGGTCCTGGTTTCATTCCCCTCCCCTTGCCTGCTTTCCCTCTGAGCCCAACATCTTATGGCAAATTCTATCAGTTGTAACTTCTGGCACCAATGCAGTTAGGATTTGGAAATAGCAAGAACTCCAGTAGTGTAAAAACCAGTTTTCTCCTATAGGTTTTTGCTATAAAAGAATGTGGAAATAAAACTTTTAAATTATATCATCCTGTAGACTGTTGTGTCTTTGTTCAAGTTGGAGAACAGTCTCAAGTCTCAAAATGCAAACAGAGAATATCCAAGGTCATAACATAACAAAACTAATCTTATCCCAGTGATAAAATTGACAAGGCAGTAATTTTGTGATATCCCAGGCAGATATTCTTGTGTAATATCATTCATTTATTTTCCAATAATGTAAAATTTTCAATGCAAAGAGAGTTTTTTAAGGGAGCAATTTACATCAATTTAGCAAAAAATATCATTTTTGAGACTTTTACATTTTTAGCTTCCTGTATGTCAACTATCAGATCCAAAGGCCATTTTCTTATAATCTGTCTCATATTGGGCAAAAATGAAAAAGACTGTAAGGGAACTTGAATACTGTCAGTACATTGAATGGTGAACATTGTCAGTAGTCAGTAGTTAATGCTGATTTTCTCAACTTCAAGCTTTTTGTGGTGTCCATATATGCCCCCCATGCTTTTCTTCATAATGCCTCATCCAATTGATGTCAAATTTTGCTTACTATTAGAGGTGTATACAAGCCACAATCATCTCTAATGAAATGTCAATTGGAGGTTTAGTTCCAGAGATATGGCCAAAAAACTTTTTCCAGCTAAGTGGAGGCAGTAAAAGTATGAAACAGTTGCCATGGCAACATAAGTGAATATATTCAAAAGTTAGCAACATAGGTTTGTACACCATTCCAACAGTAATGTATCCTGAAGGTTTCAAAATTATAGCATCAATAGGGAGAGAAAAACCTGGTGGGGGCGTATATGTGGGCATAATAAATTTTTAACTTTTGACCTTTGACCCCTCCTGATTAGGTCATTATATGACAATTTTCACAACCCATTTTTGAATTCAGTTAGCACTGGTCGCAAGCTTTCCCATGGTATATAATTTTGGAGATTAGCATGGAAATGTATGATACATTCAATTTGAGAAATTGGGTTGTCATTTTGCTGTATATTCCCCCCTTAATTAGCATGCATGTGCCAGGGAGCTCTATAGTGTGCAATACTATATAGGTCAGTGGTTCTCAAACTTTGTAAACATGTGACCCACTTGGAGTATTCTCAGGCATTGCATGACCCCCTCTCAGTATGAAGTGTAGGCCTTTATGAGTCAAGCGTGTAAATTGCCCTGCAGAAAAGCAAGAAGTTTTGTTATTTTAAAATATTATTCCTGACACCCTGCAACCCCCTTTCTGCACTGCTAGGTTGCAACCCACAGTTTGAGAACCACTGCTATAGGTGCATTATGGTACTGTAGCTTGGCCTATGTGAGTAAATGGAATGCAGTACAGACAGGATCATAGGTCTCAGTAGCTGCCACATGGCATCCTTCTTCCAATGACATTCACCCTACTGATGGTTTGTGGAGGAAACCTAGTATCAACTTGTCATCCCTACTTGTAACCTGAAGGAAGTGCAATTTGAAGAAATAGTGTCTTTCAAACTTTGTAAGTTTTTTCTATCCATTTCTAGGCTTTGTTGAAGGGCAAGGGATGCAGAGAGACATCTGTCACTATGGTTCTATAACAGTCAAGAAGTTAGTTAAATCTTTCAAAGACTTAGGGCAAATTCTACAAAGGATTTCTAAAAAAAATGATGCATATGGGCTTTGTGTAATGTGCTGGCTTAACAACAGCAAAAAGTCAAAAGCTCTGAAAGCATCAAATGGGTTGCACTTCAAGAAATGAATAAAAAATAAAAGAGATGTACTACTTAGAAGAATGAATTGTGGATTCAATGTTCAAGGGTAATCATCACTGATGTGAAACTATTTAATATGGATTTATTATGTTTTCTATTTAAGGTTATGAATTGAGCAAGTTTGAGGGGAAAGCAGGATCTCCTGAGAAGCCCCTTTCAGACTTGGGCCTCCTTTCATACCGATCATATTGGTCTCAGACCATACTTGAAATTCTTACTGATCTCAAACCTCCTGATGGAAGTGATAGACCTCAGATCAGCATCAAGTATGTCTATTCTGTCTTCAAGACATGTCAACCATCACTTGCTCCTTTGGAACTGATTTCACATTTTCTCATTCTCCAGTGAGTTGTCAGAGACCACAAGCATGAAGAAGGATGATGTCATTAGTACTCTTCAATACCTCAATCTTCTTCATTATCATAAGGGTCAGTATATCTTGGTATTGAATCCTGACATTGTCGGCGCCCATGAGAAGGCAGTGACCAAGAGACGGTTGAGTATTGATTCAAAGTGCCTTCACTGGACTCCTAAGGAATGGTCTAGACGAAAATGACTCCTTTTAGAAGTTTAGAGTGCAACATAAATTGCTAATAGTGAAATTTTTTGGGTATATGCAGTGGGTACTTGGGCAAAGATGTATGCTGAGGTAAAATCGATGAATTGTATGCTTCTGTGATAGCCATCTTTGCCAGGAAGCTCAAATATGTTGTGATGTTTTTATTGGCATTTTTCAATGATCTCTTCCAGCCACTGAATATAGCAGCATTCATCTTTTTGCATCTGATGGTGTTTTAATTCATTATGATCCCTCTTGATATGAGTAAATAAGCAATCAATCAGTTTACAAACGATCTCAAATTTATACTTGGAAAATAAAGGAGAATCTCAAACTGATGAAGAGAGCATATCACAGGTATATCACAGTCAGAAAAAGAAGCAACAGCCTGAAGAAGACTTGTTATCCTCTGTAGAAGGTGACTTGATGGCAGCATTTGCCCCAATCTTGATTGTAGGTTCTGCTGGAGATCCCATTCTGTTTTCAAAAAGGCAAAGATGATCAAAGTTCTCTGGATGGAATATAGCTGGTCAGAGGCAATAGTTCTCTTATAATGCTTGATGGGAGGTGTGTTGTGTTTCCTATATACAGTATCAGCTTTTATGGGCAGACACATGAATACTACTTTTGTATGAAGCATAATTTTAAATAATAAAGCAAAGCAAAATGCTTTCATGTTTCAGCAACTCCTGAGAATTTTCTAAATTGTGTGCCTCTCACATCTTTTCTTCAAATTTATATGGCTCTTGCAAAACTAGGGTACCTTTCCTTCAATGACCCATCTGATTCTCTCCTCATATTCTTCTATGCTGAAGCCATCACCAGAATTACTTAAATAGAGTAGAAATGGTATTCAGGATTCCTGGCTGTACTCTTTTGAATGTACACATGGCGATAACAGCTAAGGTATTTGAAAATTTTTACTAAGAAAATCCTGCGCATTAATAGGTGAAGTTTCCAACAAGGATAATTCTCTAAAACCTGCAAGCATTGGCTATTGACCAATATGAGGTCATCCAGTCGTGACAGTTGGTTGAAGGATATTCCATCTGCTGGGTTTTGCTGCAAAGCAAATTGCAAGCAGGACTTCTAGGGTTTGAATCCAGCTAGGAGCCAACAGATTTCTCATGGACCGACAGTTCACCTGGTTGCTTTTTGGAATTACTCACAACCCCTTGGATTCAAGCACAGGCCATCCTCTATTCCATGGTCATCAGAAGTAAGGAGACTTTGTGCACCCTATCCCATCAACTGGTTCAGTATGTTGCAATGAAATGGCTTTCCAAGCCTAAGTTCCATGAAAAGACCCACGGCTATGGGAATGGAATAGATTTCCGACAGTGAGCATGGGCTCATGGGAATTGCTCTCAGAATCATGGGCAGATAGAAAAGGTGCAAGAATCTGGTACTCAGTATCCTAGTAAATATAGCAGTTATTGACTCATACTGAAAAAAAAACGATGTCCAAGAACTGTGTTGATGTTGTAAGTCCATTGTGGTGTCACCAGACATTATAGTCTCCACAAATGGGGGAATGATGTAGAATGGGTTTAACACAGAATTTGAACTGGCCAGCATGCCTACCCATGAGAAATTGACATTGCATGTGATTCAGTAGTCCAAAGCTGCTTGAGGAAGCTTTCCAGATTTTTACATGTATTAATATTGACTTGATATTAGTTAAATTTCCATTATTTTGATCCCATGCATTATAACTCTAGTCTCTTCTAGAGAATTTAATCTAATCCTAGGTATAGAAAATACATTAATAATGGCTAAGAGTGCATAAGAGAGCTCACTGGTGAGATGGAATGGGAAAAAACAAGACGGAAGCCTTGTGACTGAAGTTTCTGCAGCATGACATGTGCTGTCACCACTTCTGTGTACTCTAAACCATACCAGATGTGTGTCTTCATGATCAGTTGCTTTACTCTCTGGGGGAATCAAAGTACAACAATGGAACAAATGATGAAGAAGTAAATAGAGAAAGGGAAAAAGTAGTGGCATACATTGAGGCAGTGATTGTGCATGGCATGTGAGAGGAGAAGCCACTCCCAGCCCTTCAAGTCCCAGTTCATGACTTCGATGTAAGCTGCTGTGTGGTTCAGACTTTCCATTGCTTTATTGAGAGGTTCCATCTTCACTGTTTTATTGGACCTGCCAATGCAAGATGATGATGCACATGCAGACTTCCTTAGACTTAAGTATGTACTTCCATATGTGAATTAATAGCCTCTACTCCAAAGAAAAAATTCAGCACTTCTGTAATATTTGGCTTGCACTGCATGTCTGTCAAAGATTATAATCACAGTTGAAGAAGCAATCTTTTAAATCATGATAGTGTGGCCAGAGGGCAACGCCATATAATATAAAACAATCAAATTTGACCAAAATAAAAGGTCAGTCAATACTATGGATGTACCAGTGGAACAGCTGACACTGGTATTGATGTTTCAATGCTCCCAAGGCTGAGGAAGGATGGGCTCCCTCCTTATGAAAAGAATGGGGGGGGAAAGATAAAGAGGAGTGGGTTTGCACATATGAATATAGCCACTTGCCCTAGCAATGGACAACCCATCTCTCTTCCAAGCCCAAAAATTGAAGCTTTCCTCATGCATAATTAAATCTGTCTGTGGGTTAGATTTTCCACAATTGGCCTAGACGCTGCACTGGCATTTTTTTTTACATTTTTGAGATCATAATTGCTCCCTGTCCATTTAGTCTAAATGCTACCATTGGTGAGTCCTTAGTTATAATCATGACAATGGAACTAGGAGCCCCTTGCCAAAGACTGGTGGTTTTCCAGGTGGGTAATTATTAAAATATGATGGGTTAAACAGCACCACAATTGCATCAAGTAGCTGTCCTAGCTACGTGAAGGAGGTTGTGATTATAACTTAGTCTGCAATAAGCCCATTTAACTATGAAAAAAAAGGTAAATGTGGGGTTTGACTTCATCATTTTTATGCCTACTGTAATCATGATTATGGTCACCTAAAGATAATGCAGTCAAAGGATGACAAAATGTATGCTCACACAAAATAAGTGCTTGAGGAATGTCCAACTAGGTAATGCTGCACAAAGATATTTGGGGACTTGGGAGATGCCTCCAAGAAAGGATTGAAGAGATACACATGACACCCCAGCCCTGCTAGAACCTCTTCAAAGGCCAAGTCCTTGTTCAGGCTGAAATAGATACCATAATATTAAGTGAGATTCTTATATAGATTTTTAAATTTTAGCATGGCACTTTTTAAAATCAGTCACAGGTTGTACATTATATTTCATGGCTGGAAAAATAAACCAAATGCCACTACTTTCTTGTTTTGCTTAACACTACCAGCTTCCTGCTCAGTCACTTCTTTGATCCATAAGGACCATCCATAAGGATCATCCATAAGGATCATGCAAACAGTAAAAAAGTACAAATATAAGTGCAATTAATGAAACTTGATACAAGACCTCATTAAAGTAAACAGGGAAAAGCAAAAGTTATCAATATTACAATAGTTTTCTTGTTTCATGAAATGTGCTGATCTAGAGAGAAAACAGTTAAAAAATCTGTGCTGTGTCTGTAGAATTGTGATGCAATTCAATTTAATCAAATGAGATTGTAATTATTAATTTTATTTAGTTGCAACTAACTCTTGCCTCACCCTGTATATTGAACCTGATTAAAGTTTCAAGATCATTGGAGAAGCTACTGGAGAGCCAGAGTTGCAACAACTGACTTTCATAATACTAAGGTATTCTACTAAGGTATTAGGGTATACTCATGGGAAAGAGAAAAGGAAATGTCATGCTTTAGTGTTGCAAGAAAAGCTTGTCATCCCTTATGAGATCCAGAAATCACTAGGTGGAAATTGTGGACTATAGTCAAAGTGTCACCTGATGGAATATGCAAGGCAGGGAGGTGATGGGTTGCAAAGTCTCATTGTTGAAGCTTGTGCTGACCTGCATGTTGTTTGAGTTACAGGCTGACTGAGGAACTGGAGCAGTTGCATAGCTTCCTCATCACCTGATCCTATAGTTGAAAAAAAGGTAACCATGAAGGCTTGCAAGGGTTGATTAAGTCAATCAAAAAGTATCAAGAAACAATTTGACTTGTATGAGAACCCTATTTGGTACTGCGTGATGAAGGAAAACTCACGAACAGCAGTATCATAGTCAGAGGGAAAGATCACACGATGAGGACAGAGCCATGATGTAATCCATTCACAAGGACTATCACCATCCTTGCACAGATACTTGATATCAAAGAGTACCATCTCATGGGCATGGTAGATCCTATTGACAACTTTATACCAGTAGAACAATTCTTCCACCTCCCCATCTCCTATGTAGAGAGAAAAGTCTTACAATAGTGCAGTGACATGGGCCAGATTACATGAGAACTTATCAAAATTAACTTACAGATATTAAGATACTAGTGAAAATATCAATTTCCAATATTTTTTATATTGATTGATCCTAATATGGGAAATACTCAACATGTTGATATACAGACACTTAAAGTTGAAATTATTTATTGAAATGTCAATAATTAAATTAAAAACAAATCACTTAATATTTCTGACTTTTTTTGCAGATACAGTCTGTCCACACCACTTACAGACCAAACATTGACATTACTATCATTACACCTCTAAAAATGGCTGTGGGAGGTTTGCTGTAGAAGCTACAACTTGCTTCATTTGCAACTGTCTTATATGTTTGCCATTCAAGAGGCTCATGACTTTTGAGATTCCCTTTTGGAATCTCATCAGTCCTATATTTTCAAATGAAGGACAGATCTGAGAGCATAATCTTTCTATACAGGAATCCTGGCTATTATCCTGTCAAATGTCAATTCAATTTAATCTGACTTATCCCTATTTATGCAGTTTTAAATTGCCCCACAACCTACCAGTGCTGGGTTTTTCTAAGGAATTTACACATGAAATTTTAAACTTGATTTAGAATATTTTATAATTAAATATATTTAGTTGCATTTACATGGTATAATACATTGGACTTCACTTTTCATCAACCACTCCCAAGTTTGATGCGTAAAAATTGTGTACATTGGGCCTGTACTCATCATCTGACCTTGTAGACAAAGGCCAAGGTCTCTTATTTTGCTGTGTTTCCTCGTCAGATTCTGAACTACAAACCTGCTCAGTAGTGTCATCAGTCTTTCCTCACAACTTTCAATACTGTAATCATCTCTGGAATCTGTATCCAGCATGTACTGTTCAATTTCCAATTCATGTAACACAAACTTGCTACCTGCTGACAACATGGCTTGCAGCCTGACTGAAATCAGCTGTCAACCACCAACTTTAAAAAAATAATTTTCAATACACATATATCGAGCAAAAAAGCAGGCTACCATCGAGAACCTGAGACTCACTGGCACATCTAAATATACATCTGCTTGGTTGTGTGTACTTGATGGATGCACTACTGGCACAGGCAGCTATTGTTGAATATACTCTGCAGCAGCAGCTAAAGGGTTAACCTTTTTGCTGATTGCCCAAGTACATATTTGGGTTGCATTTGTTGCTTGTGTAGTGGTAGCTCAAGTATATACTTGGGCTCTAACCATTCACTGTTTCTTGGCTAGTTTGCCACTATTTATGCATGTAACCACCATCTTCAATGACATTTTAAACATATACTATTGATTTCAGTAAACAGATCCAATTTTTATAACATAATACAGGGTGAGGGAAAAGTCACTATACAGGGTGGCCACAAAGTCCCTTGCATAAAATATTTAACTTTCTTTTTTTTTTTAGACATGTCAATCAGCTAAGTGATAGAGGCTTAGGTGTGCGTGAAACTGCCTTTAAAGGCACTGTTATAATGTTTCCCTACTCATCAGGAATTTCATCTTCAAAATCAGTCAGTCAATTCAATTTCCACATCTTTTTCACTTGATGAACTTGTCTACTGGTAGATACCATCTTTGGAAACTAATATCCATGGAATGTCATCTAATAAAAATGGTTATACCACATGCATCCCTTGCTTCAAATTGTTGTAAAAAGTTCCACAAGTTGGCAGATGTGTGTTATGTGGACATCAATCAAGTCAGATGCTGTTGCTGAGAGACATAAGAAATGCATGAATCCATGATGAGTTAACAGATCGAGCTAACACACAGTGGGAGCTGGATCATGTGTTAACTTGTTGTGTAAGCAGTGAGTTAATTTACATGGGTCCATGCAGTCACAGACAAAGAACCTTTCAAAGGAGCATCATCTATGAGTGACTGTCCTAGTTTCTAGACACCCATTGAGACATTCCAAGATGCATTTGCTGGCTAAGAAAATGATCCAATTTTGTGACATGGAAACTTAACAACAAAAAGAAACAAGGGATTTTATCTCTTCAGCACACATTTTCCTTTGGTAGGCCTACAAATTTGAGCTTAGAAATCCAAGCTTTTGGATGTCCTGCTTTATTGCCATTTATTTGCACATCTATTCTGCTTTGGTTGCATGGTAACAAAGAAGGAGTGCCCAGGAAACATAGAAAACAAACAACTGGATTTTGAGAGGTGTGAATCCATTATGCAAGGTTACAGACACTCAGAATAGCACATTTCTTAGGTAAAACAGGTCATTCTCTCTCATTCATTCAGGATGTACATTAGTGAAAGAAATTCTTGGACTGCAACTGTCACTTTGAAAACCAGAACCAGAAACAATAAGCATCATTTGACCCCGTTTGCTCTTTAAGAATCTTAATTCATGCTTAAGAAAATCAAGTGCGTTTGAGTCAAGTGAAAAATATGACTCATATGAAGACTATATGTGGATATTCAAATATTTGCATCCATACTTTTACTTTCTTTTAAAGATCCAGGAAGTGCTCCCTGCAAAAATACCTGCTTTATACACCTTTGACCTGAAAGGTTGATGGGAGGGTTGGTTTCCCCCAACTCACTACTAGGTCTATTGTATTTATTTATGATTTAAAAACTAGGACACATTCTAAATGAACCTCTAACCTGGAATTTTGAGATACAGGTACCACAATTCATTTGAAGGAATTGTGGACATCAGTTGCTCAACATCTCTTGCAGGTGCATTCTCTACCACAAGGGCTTGGTATGGAACCTGTCAGATGAAGAATATATGTATCCTTTACTATGTAAGAGTGAAATTGAGGAAGTTACATCATTTTATGGTAAGACCAGTTACTGATCAAACAAATGACAAGGACACCTGCCTACATTACCTTCACTAGAGACTGAGAAGTTTCTCTGTGAGCATCTGTTGCTATGAATGAATTCACACTTGAGAAGGTATGCACAGGCATCTTTTCTTTGGGTCCATCAGTTACTCCTTGTTGACTTGTCACCCTAACAATTCAAATATAAATGCCACAGAAATATTCTCTATTTGTAATATTTCCAATAACAGACCTGAATAGCCTTTAAAAAAAAAAACCTCCACAAAATGAGGCAAAAATGTGAAATATGATACCAATATATCTTCTTTATATTTTATTGAAGAAACTGTGTGCATGAAATGATTGAATTGTACGTAAATTCAAAGGTATACCTGTTTGGCTGTTTTGGTCTGATGATAATGACACTCTCCACCTTGTAGAGGGACTTCTTATCTCTATGATCATAAAGGCATAGGGGGAAATCAGAAGCAAATGGAGCTGGTGGCTTCAGTCTGCACTCAAACAATGTCTTGCTGAGGAAGCTCTTCAGCCTTGAAAAATAAAAATAAATACTTTGGTAATCAGATCATGCATGTGGGGAATTCTCTTTGAAAAATATATATATATTCACCTGTTCATCTCCTCTTTCTTTGAACCAAGGGGAGAGAGCAAGTCATTTGCAGATTCTCCATAAAATGGAATTTGAAGATCTTTCTTTTGGACATAATGCTGCCATGCTGTGTGGCAGAATAAAAGTAACAGACAGAAACAAAACATGATGAGGAAAGTTTTCCTACGTGGTGATTTCATCATGTGTGGTTGATTTCAAGTTGCATGGTTACAGTATGATAGGGCTACTAAACCTCCTTATAAAGTATCTGAAATGGAAAATTTTTCAAATGAGAAATTAATCCCCATTGAGTAAGGCATTTGCATTCACTTGACTTGGACCAGTGGTAAATTCACTTGATTAGTCATAATGAAGTGGTTCATAAGTTTATGAGAGATAAATTAAAAGAAAGCAAAAAAACAATATGCCAAGCTGACAGAATCAGAACATGCTTTTGTAATAACACTTTCACATAATTCAGGGGCTTGCTGAATTAAAAATACACTGCCATTCTACTGAAGATATTACATTTATACGCACTCAAAGAAATTTGGCTGACAGGCCTCAAGCCCCAGGAGAATAACATGGGAAATGATCAGTGCTGGGCCCAGTGTTATTTCACCACATGTCATTGACTGGCCTAGTGGAATCTATTATACAGTGTTTTTCATTAGAGTCCTACATGTTTTCATTAGACTTCAACATCCATGAATGCAGAATGTCCCATGCACGAATGTCCGAGTCAAGGAAAAAATTGTGTGACTAAAGTAAGGTTGCCACCCATTCATAATTAGTAACGGACAGCACAAATTTCAGACACAATGAAACATACACACTGCAAACTGGTCCTAATATGGACACTGTTTTGTCCATATTTTAAAATTAATAACTTTTTACACAATAAAGCTTAATAACAGCTTATATCATTATTTTCCATAAGTCAAAGGCAGTATGTCACACTCAGTATTGATTGGTGCCTTGCTTAAGGTGGCTGTGGGTATATATTAAATATATGAACGGCTGAAAGGCAAAGTGGTCTATCTGCAAAAAATTTCCGAAAAAAGCGTCGTGGGTTTTGTGCTCATAGGACCTTGTTCCTTTCATAGAAAATTATAGTTTTTTGGAATTAAGTAAAGGATGAAGTGATCTATCGATATATACCACTTTTTCTCACTTTTAACATGATGGTCACTGGAATATTCACTCATTCCGTGTGGAGCTTCATGAAATAATTTTTTGCAGATAGACCACTTTGCCTTTCAGCCCTTCATATGTCCATATTTTGTTAAATTCAAAGATGGCAACCTTAGACTAAAGCGATAAACACAATAAAGCGGTTCTCGTGGATGGGTCCATGGGAGGTGCCATGAAGGCGACGTAATGTGACGTCCGTGCTTATGGCTGCTCACATCTCCCGGTGGCCTGCTGGAACTTATGTATCTTCCCTTCGCCGATGTGTCAGCTTCGCAAATGTCCCGCCCCATCGTGCTCGTGGCTCGCAAGAAAGCGTAAAAAAAAAAAGACTGAGAGTGATGTCTTTTGAAACTGCATCACAGGGTGTTCCTTGTCATGTTACCCCTATGTGTTTCTAATTATGTATGTATTGTTGTTTCTCATGTGATACAATGGAACATAAACATTGATTATTTGCTTTACGATTACGTTTAACATTTAGCATTTAATTACAATGCCAATATACCTGTCAATAGGGTCAGCCCTGAAGAGCTGAAAGAGGCTGTAACAAATGCATTCCACTAACTTAGGTTACTGCAGCAATTTTATGGAGGATGTCGCACAATGGTACATCATTCTCTGTTGTGAAAATGATGGTTCATCCGCTGACCCTATTGGCAGTAAAATTGACTTTGTAATTAACATAATAAATATGTCATTAGAAAACAGGGGTTACCGGACATATGGAAGACCCTGTACGTAATTTGTCCATCATTGGGTTCTTTACAATTTTCAAATTAGTCTGAAAAATTTGTAGGCCCTGTCCCATAGAATTCATGCAAGTATAGGCATATTAGGTTAAACCTGCTGTAGATCTCAGGTACTTGAAGATCTCAACCTAGCTTGCTTTTTTAATTCAAGGTTCTAGGATTGGCTAGCATTCTGAGGCCTATTGTCTACGTTGTCAAGCTCATTGGGTGTATGTTAGACCTTTAGTGGTCTGTCAAAGGTATTTCAATCCAAATTATTCCTAGTGCAGAATGTTAAGAGGAGATGGAGGTGGATCTTGGCTTTGTTGAACCTTGTCACCCATGGCAAGTGCAGAGTAAATACTTCCCTAGCAAAGTTGGCAGTGTTCCTGCATGGCTGAACTTGAAAGATCTCCCCCATCCATCTGAACTTCAGTGTGGGGTCTGTAGGTCTCCTTGCATTTTCCTCTGCCAGATCTATGCCCCAGTTGAAGACTGTGAAACATGCTTCCACCGAATTCTGTTTGTCTTCTTGTGCCGAAATCCAAGTTGTTGTGCTCCAGAACATCATGGGAAAAACTTCGTTATTTTTCGGAACCAGCTGCCACGTGTAAATGACTTCTATGCTCCAAAGCCCCCAGTAGAGCAGGAGCAAGATGCTGATTGTCCATCTGCCTCTGATCATGTGCCTCTTTGTTGGATTTGTGGATGTCTTGGGAGGAACAGTTGCAGCTCCTGTAAAATTGCTCAGTATTGCTCACGAGAGCACCAAAGGATGGACTGGAAAAAGAAACATAAAAGTGAATGTAAAGATGAAGCATGGAAACAAGACTGCAAGCAAAATGAGAAGTGTGAGTCTTGACTTTGCCCCATGAATGGTCTCCCTTTTGTAAAGAAATTGTTGACTTACTGTACTAATCTTTGTGCTGATATTTCTTCCTTTTAGGCCATATTGGTGATAAAGGTGGGATCCTGTTTCCTCAATATCAGCTTGTGATTGAAGCTGAGGAGCAAGCACAAAATGATGTGAAAGTGGAGAAGTCCGAAGAAGAGCTCTTAAAGGAATTCCAAAGCCTCAGTGACACTTTGGGTGCTTCCAGTCTGTGTCCTTTCATTTCTCCCTCTTTAAATACAGGGTAACCCTGAAACATTGAAGCTATGTAGATGCTTTGTTGTTTTTATATTTATGTTCCATAAACAGTGTGATTTTGCACAAATACTATTCAAGGCTTCGCAATTCAAAATGCAACATGTTACAGCTTAGGTTTTAAAGATAGTGGGTGACATGTATGGGATCTGTTTAAGCTAAACTAATCTGATATCATAATGGTCCCCTATAGAAATCAGTTTAACAGAGATAAACTTATTTCCATAGAAGCCCATTATGAAAACGAATCAGGTTTAAGTTAAACGAATCTGGTGCATGTCACTCAGTATCCTTCAAATGGTCTCTATGAGATGCAACACAGGAAAGTAAACATCTTTCATAGTTCTTGACAGTCACTTACAATGCTGCATTTATTCTGGCTACTTCTGTACTAATGTTTTCCTCACATTCCTACAATTTGTGAAACCTATTTTGGTACACCTATTCTTTCAAATAGCCCCATACAAAGTAATCTGGTACAGTTGGATCTGGAGATCTTGCAGGCGATGAAATGTTACCAAACAAGAGATGATATGACCATTAAACTTTGAAAAACATTTACTTTCCAGTGTTGCATCTCATGGAGCCCATTTGAAGGACATTATCCTCAAAACCTAAACTGTAACACACTGCATTTGAATTGTAAGACCTTGAATATAATTTTTGCAAACCACTGTTTTTGAAACATTAATAATAAAAAAATGACCAAGCATTTACATTGCTTCAACATTTCTGTATCACCCTGTAAAACAATAAGGAACCCAACATGACAAATTTCTTGTCAGGATGAATTTCTCTATTAACAGGGATAGATGAAAAGGAGCTGTTGGCCATGGCATGCAAGGGAGAGGAGGATCGAGTGTTTCAGCAGTTTTCAGAGACCATCAAGAGGGAGCCAGAACAAGTAATCCGGTATTCAAGGACAAGTAGTCCCTTGTGGGTTTCAGATAAAAAGAGGCCATCTGAATCTGATATTCCACCCTGTCACTGTGGTGCTCCAAGAAAATTTGAATTCCAGGTTTGTACATTGTATATGCACTGCCATGGATCTCTTATTTATGGAATCTGAGAACAGACCACATAATTTTCCAGATCCTTCCACAAATGCTGATTCACTTGCGGGTGGATGAACGGGATTCAGAGAGCATTGACTGGGGAACAATTGCCTTCTTCACATGTTCTCAGGATTGTCATCAAGACTCCTGTCCACCCTATCACAAGGAATATGCTTGGCTTCAGCAGTTCACAGGATATTCCAAAATAAATTGAATTTAGTTGCTTTCATCTTGATATTTTCTGTTTACAATCTTGACATCTGAATTCATGTACATCAAGTGAAGACATTTTCTGGGAATCCCTCTTTTTTTTATATCTTACTTTAACCAGAGAATGCTTTTAAAATCATGCTATGTGGCAATTCAATGAGTGTTGCTGGATGATTGCCATTTGAACACCCATTGCCACAATGAAGACAGATCTATGAGCAGAGTGATAGAAGCATCTGATCGAATCAATTTAATGAGAATATGGAATAGGCACAAGTTCTTGCCTACATGAGAGTTTAACATTTTCAGACATATCCTTAATTAGATAAATTGGGTAGAAGTTTTAAATACATGCATGAGTAACTTCTTTCACATGCTAATCAGAATGTGTGCATTGTTGTCAGTAATCCTATCAATAATGCTGCACTTATTCATCTTTATTTTTCAAATTGCAGAATATAATTCAAATTCATGCATTCAAAACATCTTTGAGGGCTCAAGAGATTTCCTGAAAAATAGGCACTGTTGTTTTTTTTTTTATACCTACCCTGAAAGTCTTCTCTGCTGCCTTTCCAGCAACAATGGCTTAGCAGAAACTTGAGGCAAGAATAGAGTAGGCCAAATTTTTAAACTCAATTTTAAGCCAGCTAAATTCTTTGATTTATAGATCTTTGATGGTGACATCCTGCTATCAATAATGAACTCATCACAGAATTTTTTCTGTCACATAAAATGTTGATTCCATCACCAGATTATTATGAACCTCCACCAGATTGAAGTCAGCTGCTAAATTGTATTACTGTTTTCTACAAAAATGATTTCATCATCACAGTTGTTATGATCTACCTTATTCCATGGGAATCCTCACTAAATGTGTCCAACAGTGTCAAGAAATAGAGTTTTCTTTACCTATGGATCAATCTGTGATTGTGAGGTAGTATCACAAGGCATTATGCGAACTGTACTGAACATTTTCGCCCAGCAGCTGTACCAACTACATGTATAGGTAATTTAAAATAAACACCATATCGTTTTCTATGGGAGAAACACAAATTCATAAATGCAAATTATACACTGGATATGCAAACATACAACCTCTGTCTCAAAAGTTCCAGGACTGACGGCATAAAAATTAATAAAATATAATTACGAATTATTGGCGTTTGTTTCCTTTGAAGTAGCCTCCCTCTGCTTTGATACACCGTTGCCAGCGTTGCTGAAGGTCGTTGAAGCAACTCTGGAATGTACTTTCTGGAATACTCGTGATCAGCTCTATCACAGCCGTTTGAATGGCTTGAATGTCTGAGTAGCAATAGCCTTTCATTGCTCGTTTGAGCCGTGGGAACAAAAAAAAGTCAGGCAGGGACAGATCTGGTGAATACGGAGCATGTGGTAAAACTGAATTTTTTTCTGCCAAAAATAGTTGGATGGACACCGCTGTATGTGGGCGCGCATTATCGTCGCCGTCCTGAGTTGTGGGCAACAGGAAAGTGGTTCCTCCTGCACGATTTAATTTTTATGCAGTCAGTCCTGGAACTTTTGAGACAGGTTGTATGTCTCACTGCCCTTCAAACGGAGGCCAAGAAAAGTGAGTTTTAATTTGGTCATGGGGGCGCAACATCGCCCCCAAACCCCAGACGCTAACTTCCTAACCACACAGCTATTATGTCACCACCCTATTTTGGTTGGCCATAACTTTTCAAGGAACAGCTGGATGCAGCCAATACTTGACAGAGAGATTCATGAACCTAAGAGGTTTTTTCACATTCCGCAAGATGACGCTGCATGCCGATAGAGGGCGCTGTTGTCGACCGGAGGGCCCCCTATCTTCGTGCTACGCCACTTTTTAGGTAGGGAAAAAGAAAAACCTTACAGGCCCATGAGCCTCTTTACCATAAATCAGTTGCATCTGAGATCCCTTTCAAAAGATGTGGTCTTGAAAACATTTGGTCCAAATATGAATTTGGTCATAATCGATTAAAGGCCAAAACTGGGCAAATTACAGAAAGGTCCAGCTCAAGTGTAACAAATCAAACCGTAATTGTTTTAATTAGAAATAGCACGTTTTATTGACTCGAAATTTGCACAGCATGATCATGATATAATGGACCAAACACGACGTAAGTTTCACTCAATGTGGCCACCTTTGGCCTTGATTATGGCCTTCAACCTCTTCTCGAAGTTGTTGACACTGTTCGTCCCCACTTCAATTGGAATTTTGTCCCAAATCCGAACCAAATCTTGTTCGAGACGGTCAAGACTGCGTTGGGGCTTGGAAAAGGCCTTGGACTCGAGGGTCGACTACATGTCATAGTCAAGAGTGTTCATATCTGCAGACGACGAGGGCCACTTCTCCTTGGTCGAGAACCCTGGCAAATTCTTCGAATTCTTCAAAATCTTACTTTCTCCCTTAGAAAAGGGTGGGGCGTTTTATTTAGTTATTTATTTTTATCACTTTATATTTATTCGTGCTCTAAAACCTTGGGTTTGTGAGGAATGGTATTCGGTGACGGAAAAATCGAAATGAACCACATGACGAAGCTTTCTTCCATCGTGATAGGAACTCGCCGGATAGAACTTCACTAAGCCAGGCAAAACCGAATCAAAATAAAAGCGCTCGTTTCTACAGCACTCTGATTTATGCACGACTGCCAAAATTTGGAGTTGCTTCAAAATCGCAAGGAACCACCCGATGCTTGACAGGCAAAAGGGAGAGGAGACTGGGTTGGACCTCCACCCCTCACCGTTGATATTCAGGAGAGGCACGCCTTTCGTGACTGCGTGCTTCAGATGGTGATCCAGAGAATGATCGGAAGACCACATCACGATGGAGTGGATTACGTAGAGAAAAATATGATCGAAACCAGCTGTTCCTCTCTGTCAGTAAGATATCCTCCTCGTGAGAGCCATGTGGAGGACAATGTGAGTTCCGTATCTTCTTATGAAGATCGCAGAGAGGAATCTTCTCTATCCAGGAGTATAACGAACTGCAAATTGACTCCCGCCAGGTGGGCGTTGTCATGATGGGAGAGAGAGATAGTAAAAAAAAAAGAAAGTTGATTAGCTTAATGGTTTCATCTCTTGAGAGAATCCACGCCGCGGAAACTCAATACAAATGAGCGCTTTGATGAGACACAGGTGGCCTCAACTTTTGAGCTCCTCTGTCTCATGGTTCAATCCGGGCGTTTTCCCCACCGAATTCTTCAGTAAAAGTAAACTGAAGTAAACTTACATGGCGGCACAGTAACTCGATCATCTCGATTTCATCTCTATTTTTCTGTTATCTATCGCGGAGGACTATGAGGAAAATATTCCTCTGAGAGCCAAGTGACCTTGGCCTTTCGTTGGCCTCTGACTGGCGACGTTTACGATACATTTCCATCGGCTGACTTAAGCGTCTAAGCCTCGCGTCATCTTCTCTTACCATTTCACGATACATCAATGTTTACTACTGTTGGCTCCTCGTTTATTAACCGATTATTGGAGCCAGCGCCATAGCGGGAATATTTAGCACCCTGTGCGAGATAACAACTCAACGTCCCTTCCCCCCCCCCCCTCCTCTATATTTCTCCTGCTTCCCCAGCACCAATAATACATTACAAATTGATCTATGCTTAAATTAATTAAATTCAAGACAATTTGCAATTTTTTACGTTTTATTCATATTTTGTTGTGCTTTGGCAGCCAATCGGCGCCCTGTGCAGGCGCACCGCTCGCAACCCCCTCGGTACTGCTCTGATTGGAGCTTATCGTGTCTCCCTCCCCCCCCCCCCCTCCATTCCCCCAAGGACAGGCACAAAGGGTTCTTATCTGATACATCTACATCTATTCTCAAGAGGTAGGTGGACACCTGCCATGCTACTTTATGAGTGGTCAATGTGTTGCTGATGCATGTGGCTACCTAACTAACCTTGTTTAATGAAAATTCCTGTAACCCCAAGGACAGGCACAAAGGGTTCTTCAAGAGCTTATGTGAATTATGCCAAAAGTGCATACTGCAGAAACCTGTCAGACCATAAAGTTTCGTTTCTACAGATCCATCATGCGGAGCTGAATATAGTATATCTCAGGCAAAAATGTAGAGTGACCTATAGACTTCTATAGAGTTTTCAATGTAGTTTTATAGAATTCAATAAACCACTCATTGAATCTGGATAGGACTCTATACAGATTGGTATGGTAAGATATAGGGACTAGAAACCGCGCAAGCGGGAAGAATATCATCACGTGGGTAAACAGTGGTGGCGAGTGGACGAAAATTCTGGGGTGGCCAGAACGCCATCACAATGAACTAGAGATCATTGTTGTAACAATGGGAGCATGAAGCACGAAAGGTGTGTTTAGTTCTGTCTGGTCGCCTGATGAGTCGCACTGCTTCGAGTGGTAGGTAGTTGCAATAAAAGGCCGAACGTTCCGTGTTGGCAATTTATAACGAATCGAAAACATGTCAAAGGAGAGAGGAAATTGGATCCTTGGAACGCTTGAAGAATAGAGGTGCATCCGGTCCGAGGAGAAAATTATCGGTCTCACGACTTACACCCCTTGCGAGTTTCGGGACTCCTTTAAAAAATAAAAAATAAATGCATATAGCTCATCTATAATGATCACGAAGACTATATTTTCTGTCTTTTTCATTCGTGGAAACTCCATAAATACATATTTGCAATGCGGATTAGAATGACCGAACAGCTTTCTAATTTCGGCAAAGGAACCTAGACAAGACGGTGTATAGGCCGGCCTCCTTGCTTTCGTATACTTATGTATTGCATGCGCTATGTGATGACCCTTATCCATCGCCTATGAGCCAGGGGAGGGCTCGAGGCTCTGGCCTCCCAGATGGGAGGCCAGCTAGAGACGTTTTGGTTCGTCCAGTTTCTCGTATTCCAAAGTTGATTTTTATTTTACAGCCTAATCCCAGTCGGCGCAGCTCTTTAAAATTGCACCACTCAGGATGAAACGACTCTCCGATGCACGATCCCCATGAGGATTTCCAGCAGTTCACAACTACGACCTGTGT